GTACTAAAAACAAATGATCAAATTCGAATTTGTGGTGATTTTCGCAGCACTATAAACCCTGTTATTGTTACTCGATCTCACCCAATTCCAATATTTGACCAGTTACGTCAAAATCTCGCAAATGAAGACAAGTTTTCAAAAATAGATTTAAGAGATGCATACTTGCAATTTGAAATTACTCCAGAGTCGAAACAGTATCTGACAATCTCTACGCACAAAGGATATTACCAATACAATAGGATGCCATTTGGAATCTCAACAGCTCCTTTAATCTTCTAACACTACTTGGACGAACTTCTCGATGGTATATCGAACGTCGCAGTGTATTTTGACGATTTGCCTTAACAGGGAAGGATGACGTCGAACACCTTCAAACGCTTTCGACCGTGTTTGACAAATTACAGAAAGCAGGTTTAAAAGTGAATTTAAAAAAATGTTCATCTTTCCAGACAGAGATTGAATACCTGGGGCACACAATCACCAAAGACGGAATTCGCCGAACCAAATCAAAAATTGAGGCGATAATAAAAGCGAGTCCGCCTACTAACGCTCAAGAACTACTATCGTTCTTAAGTTTGATAAATTTTTACGAGAAATTTATACCTTACCTACATAGCGTCTGCGCGGATCTGCATGCACTGACTGGTGGCCGTCAGATATGGCGGTGGACCGACAAAGAGAATAAAATTTTTGAGGATGCAAAAAGTCTTATTAATAGATCAAAATCACTTGTAGGTTTTGACGAAAAGCGCATTGTTCTTAGCATGTGACGCCTCGGCGTGGGTGCCGTGCTTTATCATAAAGTAGCCGACAAAATTAAAACCATCGTTTTCGCTTCTAGGAAACTAAGATCAGCGGAAACGAAATATTCAGTTATTGACCGAGAAGCTCTAGCAATATTTTTCGGAATCCAAAAGTTTGATCAATATTTACGTGGCACAAAATTCACATTAGTAACCGACCTTTAATCCACGTTTTAGGGCCACAGCGTAACTTGCCAAAGCTTATTAATAACCGCCTAGTACGTTGGGCTTTTATTGGTGGGTATGACTACGACATCGTATTCACTAAGGGGCACCTAAATTTTATGGCTGCTTATATTTCTAGGATACCAAATCCAGAAGAGAGACCGTCTAACGCAAAATTGACAGTACATATTAGTAGCCATATTGCAACATGAAAGAGTTTCAGACATTGCTTTAAAGGACAATATTATACGAGATGCCTCAAGAAAGGACCCTATACTCAAACATGTTTCACACTGCATAAAGACCGGTTTGCGTGAAAATCTTTATTCAGGTGAATTAAAGCCCTACGCTAGGAGGTACACAGAATTGTCAAATGAAAATAAGATTTTATTTTGGCAAGGTCGATTAGTAATACCGACCACGCTGAGAAGGCCCACCTTGAAATACCTGCTCACAGGATACCCGGGTACATCCGCAACGAGAGCACTAGCGCGTTTTTATATATGGTGGCCGTTCATAGACGAAGATATTGAGGAGTACATCAAACGTTGTCGCAAATGCCAAGAGAACCGGCCAAATGATCCTGAATTGCCTTTATAGACACGGTCAGTTCCTGATAACCCCTGTGAGAGACTACACATCGATTTTGCGGACCCGTTCGAGGAGAAGTACTGGTTTGTCCTAGCAACGCACTCTCGAAATGGATCGAAATTAAGTCCATGAACCAGATAACCACTTCTAAACTGTGTGAAGAGTTAGATTCCATATTCACCACCTTCGGTTTACCTCAATTCTTGGTCTCTGATAATGGGCTCCAGTTCACTTCTCGGGAATTCCTAGACTATTGTAGAGACCAAGGTATTATACACATCAAATCGTCCCCGTACCATCCCCGGACAAACGGCTTAGCTGAACGCCTGGTCCGCACTTTCAAGTCCAGAATTTCGTCAAGTGCAAATAATCACCTCATCCTGAAAAGACGACTACAACATTTTTTCTTACCGCATAACTCCTCATTCCACCACCGGCAAGAGCCCAGAACAAATAATGTTCGGTCGTCAGCTGCATTGTATTCACGATAATGCACGTCCTAACTCTAAAAAGCCCCTGCGGCACAGACAGATACAAGCCAACATAAGTTCAGACAGTCTAACACCATCTTTTAAATCAGGGGAAAGCGTGTTTGGCCGCGCCCGGAATGGGACACGATGGGGACTTGCTACCATAGCGAGACTTACACATAAATATTCGTACACTGTAGACGCAGCCGATGGGGTAGAAAAGAGGTATCATGCTTATCATGTACGTTCCCGGTTACCCGATCCTATCACCCAGTTTCCACTGATGGTTCTCAGCTACCGTCGTCCATATCTAATCGACAGCCGGAGCCTTCTCACCGAACTTCGCAACAACTATCCGAATCGTCAAGTTGGTCAACTTGTCTGACCACTCGAGACTCGCCTCATATAAACACCAGTGTGGTGGAACCCGTTGCAAGTTCATCGGGAACGCGAACTCAGTTGCCACCCCACTACAGGCATGCACTGCTACTACACATTCGCCACATGGCACGACTTCCCGACAAGGAGCACTAAGGCGCAGTGAGCGCATTATCAGATTGCCGCGGCGGCTCATTTAGGAGATGTCATAACTTGTAGGGATGGACGATTGTTATATACTATGACTAATCTATGATTGATACTGACTTTGTCAACGTTCTGACTGTAAAATTATAAATGCTTGAACTATGTTAGTATTTGTTTATTTCACTATCTACACCCTGGATGCTTCTACAATCGCCTTACTCATAGCGGTTGACAGCTGGTACAGATTTCACTATATCAATTTTTCTTTTCGTAAAAAGAACGGAAACGGAAAAATTCTTTCCCAGAATAAAACTTCTTTCCTAACGCTCTGCTACCATGTTAAAGATTTATGTATTAGATTTATAGGATCGAATAAGAGGTAATAGAGCAAATTCCGCACAGTTAAAGCAATGTATGTTTTATATTCAGTGACAACACAAGTTACAAGGTTACTATGAAAACCTTAGAGGATGAAAAAAATAATGAAAACGATCTTTATGGTAGGCATAAAACATAATGAAGGCTTCATGCCTTAACAAGATAAATATCTATCAAGTTCATACTATGAACCACCTAGTAAAACAAGCGTGAGGTGAAAGCAAGAATTTCGATAAATATAATAAACTTGTTATAATGAAGAACCTAGTAAAAACATGTATGAAATTAAGAAATAAATTGTATGATAAAAAATAAAAAGAAAAGTAATAATTTCATACTCTTTCGTCAGTGTTGCCATGTCAAATTTGAAAAGTCAGAAGATATTGCAATACAAAAAAGAGTACATTGTGGAAAAAAACAGTGGATGCTGAATTTACCTTCAAATACTTTGTACACGCAATGTTTTTGATATTACATTACAATCTTATTACATAAAAGTTTTTTTTTTCATTCCAATACAATAATTGCTAACCATAATATAACTGTTTAGGGTTTGGTTAGATTGTAGGCGGGTGTAATAAATAATAGTCAACTCTAAACTACTGACATGAGCCAAAACCATCGAGTATATAACCAGAAATAGAGATGAAATAAGGGCCATATATATCTGGTAACACATTAGCGATACAGCTCTTATAAATATCAACTCTCGTTTGCACTGAAATATAGACAGACCAACTACTGACCTGTAGGTATGTACGTCTCCGTATATTCCAAAAAATATTCAGTATTTATTGCAATAAAGATAATATCTGTAACAATGCCGTGCCGTTCTATTCGGTGAAGTGTAAGAAAAACAACAAAACATCTAATTACAAAACAAACGGAATCACATTTCATCAATAATTAAATATGTAATTTTGCAATTTTCGCCCATTTCGCCCAAAGCTCAAGTTAACTGGTCGATTTGAAGTAAAACAGTTGACGACACCCATTGACAACACCCGTCAATTATTTCGAACTCGGGCTAGCCAATCGGAGCGCAGTTGTCACAGTAATGATATGGTAGAATAGTTTTCAAACAAATTAAATGACATTTCGTCTCTATTTCTGGTTATATTCTTGATGGCCAAAACAAACCTTCTAAACTCAGATTTTTTTTGTGGACCGTTCATCCCGTGTATAGCCAGCGCGTCTTAGTAGCGGTGTTAGTAGAGGAGACGCGCGGGCCACGTCAGTTGCGCTTTAAGCCGAAAGCTATATCCGAACATGGTAGCAGGACAATGCGACCAGCATTTCTGGCACTAGTCCGGAGAGCTAGTAGAAGATGAGCTAGATATCCTTCTGTACCTCCAGCCGCTTAGATTACTGGGAACTGGAGAGACGCCCGATTTTCTGGATCTGAAAGTGAGCGTGCCTTACAGCTCCACCACCAATGAGAAGATTTGGTAGTTGACTTAGAGTTTGCGGCTTAGCGTCGGCAATCATTAGGGAAGTGAGCGTGCTTACAGTTCCGGTACCTATCTGAAAAATAGGTAGGAGGCTGTACGGGGCGGCTCACCTAAGGCACTAATCTTCTGAGAACAGGATGAAGTCCGTGCAAACGGGCTGATCAAGGGGTCAGGACTGATTATATAGGTCCCTGTGCGGGCTTGCTTGCACAGATTATAATGCCCTTCCTGTATAAGCAAGACGTTGATAGGGAGGGTCACTACAAACAAAACTTATGTAGATAAGATATGGAAGCTGATAATTTTTTATGTATATTCCATACACAATATCATCTTAAATCATATGTTATAATAATAATAATAAATATATCTCTAATAACAATCAGAATGAATGGGAGTAACATTTTACCAGTGCCATGTAACGCTGTCAATACATTTCACGAATTGTTTTATTTCGCCCTTTCTTTAATTGGAAAATGGCAATATTTATGTCATTCATTCAATTTGCTGTCATTTTTTCTAGAAAAAAAAATGTGTAATGTGAATCGTTCAAGTTCGGAGTTTACGTTTGTATTATAAAATGATCATAAAAATTTGCAAATAAAAAGCGCAATACCATGTCATTTATAAGTCATCCTGTTTTGAACATTATTGTGGTAGGATTCCATCATAAAAAAGGATGTCAGGTGAGTGTAGGCGTCATGTCGTATGCTTTTCGGAAATCGATAATGTATTTTTCGATCATACTGAATAATTAACTCGCAGTGAACATATTTTATGGAGTTTCTCTTTTTGGCGGCTGCGTCTATCACAATAAACAGGACTTCTATGTGTGTCATGTAGCAATAGAGCACGGTTTCGTGTAATGTTTTTTTCTTGTTTTTCTAATTTCAGGTGGAGCATTGTTATCCTGAGTTAGTCGCAGGACGGCCCTCGGAGCTGCCTCCAGCATGGCGCCATTTACCAGCTTTAGCATTGCCTGACGGATCCCACAACTACCTCTCTGACACCATATTTTTTACATTACCGGGCCTAACTGAGCCTGCCCACACAGTGTATGGTATTTCGTGTTTTCGTCAAATTCCTGTTGAAGTAAGGACCTCCAACAGCGAAATTTAATTTTAAATTGTAGTAATAGATATGTTACATGAATTTTTAAATTTTCAGCAAGTGGTCCAAAAAACTGAAGATATGACTCGTAGTTCAGTACAAAAGAGTGTGTGTGTGATATGTCGTTCACCATTGTTTGGCCGTTTGGCTGTGAAAATGGAGCTTGTGGTTAGGGCTTGGTTCTTACAGGGAGACTTCTCTCAGACTAAGCTTTTGGAGGATGCTTATAATCATCTAAATAGCTGTCCTGTACAAATAGACCAAACTCTAGAAGGTAATAAATTTCTTTATCTAGAAGTTACTATATTTTTTTTACCATTTTAAACCACAATAATTTGGCTATGTTGAAGTAATTAGTTTTTTATAATGTTCCAGGATTATCAGTTCAGAAATTGGTTGATAGTTGGAGACATAAAGCTTTACTATTGTTTAAACTTCTATTATTGCGTCGTAAAGTTCTGGTGTATGGAGCTCAAGCTGGGTCATTATCTGCTGCACTATTGACCTTAGTATCTTTACTCCCTCAATGCTTGGAGTATGGCCTGTCTCGCTCAGCTAATGTTGTGTAAGTATAGCCACTCATAATGTCAATAGTGAGGTTTTGAGTTGTAATGTATGATGTAACTACATAGCTGCCATCCACTAACTAAAACATGGCTAAGCAACAAGTAGTCAAATATCCGTTTTAAATAGCATACGATAGAGTTCAAAATTCTCTATTTAAAGTTAGGTTCAATTCAATCAATCAATTTCAAAACTTACCGTAATGAGGCATGGCTAGAAAATCATTAAACAATTTTAGTATTTTAAAACTGGAATATGGTTTTTTTATGATATCCAAAAAATTTTTTGTCTCACCTGTGTTTTAGTTACTGGCAGACGGTTATTAAGTACCTAAGGGGAAAGTTTAGTATTACTTTCATCTCAGTTGCTTGTTAGTAGTAGTATAATATGCAGCGTATTTAGGTTTTTGTATGCTCCGCTGCTTGGTTGTAGTACAGACAAACTGCCGACAGAGCCAGTGACGTCGCCTCACGACTTATCTGCGCCACAAACAGCAGTGGACTTCTTGATTTCATTAATCAAACCTTTGTCAATACACTTGGCTTTATTTTATTTACCATTTCTGTGAGGTATTTTCTCATATACTATGACATACATAAATTGAAAAGATTTTTGTATCATTAGGTAAAGTCAATATAAAAATTTTGATATTATTTTTTTAAATAACATTTTTAGAGCTACATAAAATTCTCTAAATAGGTAATTTTCAGGTTAATTTTCTCCTGTTAATTTTGGTGGCAATTTTTATTATTTAAATATTGTAGAACATTGATCATGAAGTATTTAATTAATATTCGTGTGTAGTAACCCGAAATTTTATTTAGTATTTCACGATAATTAACTTGAATACTTAAGAAATAATAATTGTCACCAAAATTAGGTAGAAAAAAATAACCTGAAAATTACCAAAAATAACCTGAATAAACCCAAATATAAATATGAATAAATTATAACATTTTTCAGTCAAATTTTCTGTTCTTTAGCTTCCTCGCAAGTGCGATGAAAAATGTTCTATGCCACATGGACAGACCAGCAGTTACAAGAATTTTAGTGTTTCTTTGTTCATAAATGCCTACTTACTGCCCTTGTAAAACAATATACTATTCTATCTATACTGTCCGTATTTTATATTACTATTCAAAAAGTAAAGTAAAAAATATTCAGGCTCTGTTATTTTATTTAACAGATTGACAAGGCCGCTGTCTCCAATATCTTCTGCATTACCTGAGGAGAAAAACCAGCATAATGTAGATTCCGGTGTGATCATCCAAAATGAATTATTTGTGAATGGCTCAGGTCAGGCTGATGAACTTTCCCCCAAGGAAACAGGCAATCTTTTAGAAGAAAAAGATAGAGTGAGTCACCAGAGCCTCGAAGAGTCGGCAATCGTGGATGTAGTGGACAGACAGGACTCATCTGCTGGTAGAGAGAAGTGCTACAGTGTTGGGGAGAAATACAAAACACAGAAGTCTGTTCTTGAATCTCAACAAAGTCCTACCATGGCCAGAGACATGAGTGTGGATGGTCTGCATACCTTGACAGGACAAATAGATCAGACAGAATGTGGGTTTCCTTTCCCTTTGTTTGAAGATGGGTACCTATGCTTGCCTTACCTGTCATTGCAATATTTAGATCTGTTATCAGACCCAGCAGTAGAAGGCTTTGTTGTTGGTGCTTCTAATGTGTTGTTTAAGCAGAAAAGGCAGTTGTTCGATATATTAGTGGAGTTGAATGAGATGAGAATAGAAACATGTGACATGGTGCTCAGAAGGCAGCTAACATTAAGTACTGAAGACTTGAGATTTGCAGACCATGTTGTGCGACATGGCCCCACTCAAGGCGACACGTGGATTAGAGATCAATTTGCAAGCTACTTAATTTATCTTCTAAGGACATCGTTACTGCCAGGTAAATTGATCCTTCAACCTACTTGTTTATTATGCGTCATTTTAAGGTGTAATGGACTTGGCATTTATAAACATTGTTTGAAATTTTGTTATTAATTTCAGAGGGAAGTAGAGAGATTGATTCATTCAATGCACAATTTATGGCAGCTTTTAAGTGTACACGGGCTTATCAACAATGGTTGAAATCTACAAATAACGGCGACATAGAATCGTTTATGAATTTAGCGCCCATACATCCGTTTTCAGGACAGTTATCAGTTGCTGATATGAAGCTCAAATTTGCTCAGTAAGTAAAAGTACTTCTAATGCAAATATTTATCGCACTGTTGCACTATTGTATTCAATAGTGTATTAACTGAAAAAGTGTTTTTCAAAATCGATAAAAACGAATTACTCCCTTCCCTTGAAAGATTTATGTATAGGTTGAAGTTTACTGCAGATATCTGAACAATTTCCTACTTGCCAAATACATTTAGAAAGAAGAGGACAAAAATAATTTCATATTTTTGAGTTAACTGTTTTGTGGATATGTTTTGTTTGTACAATATTCTAACGACGACGGTTTTATTGAAGTGTAGAGATTCAAATTTTATGTTCAGCATTGGTATAATCTTGAATTTCACATATTTTGAGTACCAACACTATTGTAATAGCAGTGCGATATTTTTGGTAGGTAAAATATGTAAACAACTTGAATTTCACTTAGTCACTTTTTATCTACTTATCTAGGTTTAATTCCAGCTATAATAAATTATACCAAGATAATTTTCTTTGAACCTTTTGATTACTAATTTTTTATTGACAAATTCAGTTCACTTCATGTACACCTAATTTAATCAAATTCGTAATTGATTTATTTTAGCACAATGTCAACAACAGAAGGTGGGAGAAAAGTAACTGCAGCTGTAGCAAGTACGGGTCGCGCAGTAGCGACAACATCACGAGCGGTAGGTGGGGCGATATCCCAAGCGCGCGGAGCGCTATCCGGCTGGTGGAGCGCCCTCACTACCCCTACAGCCCCCACTAACGCTTCTGAAAGTTCTTCGACAGGCGATGAAAAACTTGCCTCAGACGCAGAAGATGTCGTCGAACAGCTCGATGACGACAACAGAAAAGAACAAGCTGAAAACCCCGATCCACCGGATAAAAGTATAGAGGAAAATAAAAGCAACTTTAGTAAAATATCTGTTATTTAAACCGGCACTTAAGGTTACTTAAATTATCATTAGACAGGTATCAAAGATTTTTCGATTGAACTTGTATTTATGTTAATTGAGTATAGATTTATGTATTAATCTATGTAAATATTAATGCCCTACCCATGTGCTGTGCTAACAGATTAATGATGATAATTCAGAATAAAACGAGATTATATTTGTAGTTGTTTAATTAGGATGTTTTCAAAGTTCGTATAATACATTTTTATGAGGCTGTTATGGAATGATTTTTTCCATTCATGACAAAAGACGAAGTATACGTGAAATAAGGTTATTTATTAATTTCATGAACCAGTAGTTTTTTATTACTGCACATGCGCATACTATGGCTTTGTTAAGGCGCGTAATATTAGAAAAACGAATTATAACTCTGTAAACTATAGTGTTCTGTACATGCTTCCCTAAACTTTTATAGATATAATTGGTCTATATATGTGACTATGTAAAAATAATACGTTATGGTTCCCAGAAATTGTAGATACTTATAGATAACTGTAGACTTTGATACACTTTGTGATCTCTAAATATATTATAGTTTTGTTGATATTCTGCTTAGTTCTTGATGTGTAAATGGTATAATGAAAACATAAAAGATCTTTATGTCTTCTTTAATTTTAAGTAATTTATATTTTTTTAAATTTGTTTTAGCTTTTGCTGTTTATTGAATCAAAATGCTCTCAATGTATTAGCAAATTATACCTACCTAAATCGTTCCAGAGGGTAAAAGAAATATACCCACATTTGAAAATACTACACAATTTAGAACTATATATATGTATAAGACGTGGATATTTATCTGATTACTGTTGTAATTATTATGCACAATATGCCATTTATTTCAATTAGCTGTGTCATGTTGGTAAATAAATTTATTGAACTAATGTTCTTTATTCATTGGTGAAAAGAAATGAAACACTAAGATTACATTTCACAACAAATATATTGCCATATACATATGGTTATAATATCACAATTCAAGGTTTAGTCACGTTACATCTTTTAAATGCAATTGAAATTTGCAATGTCTTAGAATTGTAAATTTAAGTACTCGTGTCGTAGATCGATGTTATGGATACTTTACATCCTCCAAAAATATACTACAGAAGTAATAATACAAGGGATCGTGAGCTTGTCAATCAGGAGAGTTCGTCTTGTTCAATAGACGACAAAATCGAATTATTATTTCTTCTATGCTCTTGAATGCGAAAACATTCTATTACACAGGCGTTTCAGGGAATTTAAAACGGATTTCGTGTCACACGGCAGAGTCCGGCTCGTCCCATGGCCAAGGCGGGCCGGACTCGAGCGCGTCCTGTCGCCACAAGTAGCGCGCGTCGGAGGCGCCGCGCGACAATAGTCGCATGTTGTATGGCTCCACCATGTTGGAGACGGAGCCACTGCTATCGACGCGCTCTACACGCGCACAAGCACCACCGCGCTCCTCGTCGCTCTTGCCCTCCGGCAGCACGTCGAAGTCGGCGGTGCGCGGCGACTCTAGCTCGGTGAGATCCGAACGCGGCGAGACGTCCGAGTTAGCGCTCACATCTTGTAGGCTACGATCCCCGATTTCCACGCCCAGTGCTTGCGGCGGCGGAGATTGCGATGCGAATGACGAGCCTGAACCGCGGGACAGGTTGGTGGCGGGCGAGCTCGGTACCGACGCCACCAACGGCACCGACTCGTCGTCGCTGCCTTCCTCGCGCGCAGGGCTTCGGTCTCGCGATCCGCTACTGCCCCGTATGATTTTATCCTTGAGTCGCGACAGACGCTCCGCCGAGCTCACTTTCCGAAGGAGTTCGGCAGTTTTCCTCAAGTTTTTCCGTTTGAGATCAACAATCGGCGAGTCCGTCTTCGTGGAGTCCTCGACGGACATGGAGCGGACATAGAGGTGGGAGTCGGGAGTGTCCTCGGAGGCAACCAGCAGAGACGACGGTCGCGAACGCGATGTGGGCAGTTCGTTCCGCGGCGCGGTGGACAGCGCGGGCTGTGGTGCGCGGTAGTGCGCAGTTTGGGCGGGGTGCGGGCGTACACTGAAAGTGATCTGACCCTCGTCGTCAGAGTCCTCTTCGTTCTCAACGTTGAAGGTAACGGCGGGTGGGTGACGCGCGCGGAAGGCGCTGCCGCTTTTGAGGATGGAGAAATCCTTGCGCGGTGCGCGTGGCGAGGCGGCGGGCGATGTGGCCGCACTGCCTGCCAATGATGCGCCGCCGCCCGGTCGCAGTTGCAGCTGCAGCTCACTTGCCTCATCTGCAACAGAGAAGTTATGAACAACACTTGCGCGCGTTACCGTAACGCAACTAGCTGGGGAGAAGCGGAGCGGGTGGGAGTGTGATCGGAAAATCACCTGCTTTTTCGCGTCGATGGGGCTTCCGTCTGAGGATGTTCCGCAAATCCACCACCTAAGAGAACTGAAATCATGCATTTCTCGAACGGTACTGAAATGAAACAACCACGCGAACTTTTCTATGTTTATTTTACATTTTTTGTGTGACCAATTCCAAATTATTATTCTTGCACTTTATCAGTACATGATGTCACATGATTAATTCTACTAACATTCGCTATAAATTATTCTATAAACATGTATCACAAAGAGCGTATTTATAACATATAACAAGTTAACTTACGAAGCCTTTGACAGCCAAGAAAGATATGTTGTAACGGACATCGATTACATCGGCATGCTACCTCTATGGAAACATCAAATATGATTATCTAATCTAAGAGAATATTACAATAAACATCAATAAACAACTATAACAATGTCTCATTATAAGGTCCCAGGGAATGATGTAATGTGGAATGATATTGATTAAATGGAATGAAATGATATCACATTTTTTCATGTGCCGTTTTAACGGGAATGTACAGGCACAAACAAATAATTTATCGAATAACACATCCAAAACGTGTGTATACATAAATTTATAAGGAAATGTGCACAACCTATTGATGCCTTAAACTACACATTGACGAACAATATTACATGCTTTCTAATTCAATTTAACATTTCAAAAAGTTTGATATATTCTAGGTTTTTAATAGAAGAGATCTCTTTATTTAAAAAAAAAAAATTGACGACATTAAATTCATGTAAAACATAAAACAAGTAAAATGTTTCTAAAAAATATTTGTAATAACAACACTGATCAAAGTGAGGCGAAATGCGCGCATTCTACTCGAAAATCGAAATGAAGATTTGCGATTTAAGGGACAAAAATGGCTAAAGGCACGCGGCATTGGCGTCAGTTTGAACAGACGGGTGAATATTGCCAGCTGGTTATGCACATTCACAGCATATTTTGCTTACAACGTAACTGTCTGGGAATGAACTGTCACTATTGTATGATATTTTGTGTTCTTTAATTAATGTTCGTCTTATTACGTTTAGGTTTGCACACATGTCACATACATGGCCCGTCTACAAAGTCGTACCTAACCGCGAATATAATTGCGCAAGCCAAGTGCGCATTTGTATTCTAGCGAGTATTTTTCTAGTAGTGTTTCTAGAATCTATTCTTACAAATGAATATCTATGAATGTGCATAAACCAGTCGTCAGTTTTTGTACCATGCGTACTTATACGCGGTATTAGTAATTCGTTGTTTTGATCGTAGTAGAAAAGACAGTTTTCAAATACTTAAAAACTAAGGGTTTTTAAGTATTTGAAAACTGTTGTTGAAAACAGCAGATTAACGGCACCATGTGCAGGCATTAGAATCCCGCTTTATTAAATGACTAATAAATACATTATTCTCTCTATGTACTTTTTTGATGATTTCCTAAATACTTATTAACATAATGTCGCTTATTTGGTGCTACATTGATGTAATTGTAATTTTGGCAAATTTGGATAAAGGATGTTAATATGTAATTAATTAAGTCTTAATTCAATTATGCCAAAATTGCAATTAAGTCAATGTTGCACTAAATGAGCGATGTGGTAGCAACTAGTGTTTGTAGACTACGACTATGTAAGTACGTTATTTGGTCAGTACTTATACTGAACATACTGTATTAAAGTAACATAGGAACTAAATCTGAATCATGGCCCAATCATTATATGAGGCTCTTACTACATAAATTGAAGCAACAAAATCACAATGATCCTCTTAACTATCACAGACAATATTGTGAGTCGTGCAATGTATTCAAAGTAGCACAGAGAAAATTAATATAAAATATTTTATAGTCATTGTGCAAAGGCCGCTATTTCATTCTAATTAGAATGAACTTTCACAAATTTCATTTAGTGTATTTCATATTTGCATACCACGGGTTAGATGAAGACGTCATCTGACAAATTAATAACCACGTGGTCGCTTCGTTCACTTGGTTCGGTGGGATAGTCCAGGTCATCTTCTGAGGTCGTGGTGGAGGGGGGAAGAGCCGGGGAGGGAGCTGAGACGAGAGAGGGGGACTCTCGGATGGTGCGCAAGGGCTCACCTGGGTGGGAGGGGGGCTCCGACTGTAATACATCCTCCATCGCTTCTTCGTTTAGCGTTTGCAGTGCGCCGCATATCATTTGCTCCTCGAGGGTCACCTGCATACAAAATATTTTGTCAATATTTCGTGAAATAAGTAATATTTTTATTAGTTTATAAGCGTTAATAAATTATGTCTAGAGTGCAGAAATGATATTAAAAAAAGGTGAACTGTACAATTCTTCGTTTTTGATACTTATTTAGAATAGCAGTATGATATCTAATGTACTAATGCCTACAACTAAATAAGCCCTTGGCATTGTTATGCATTTTTATGAATGAGATTGATATATAATTATTATTTTAGGTATCCTACGACATTCTCCGAAATGATGAGCTTATATTTTTATAATGGTGCAGTGACAAACAAATTTACATTTGTTTTTTTACCATGCTACTATAAGTCACCTGATATTCCGCGTAAAGCTGCGAAATAAACAATTTATTATTTACATTTAGTGTGTGTCCATATTTATTGTTATAAGTAAATCGCTGAAACCTTAGCTCCCCTGATGGTGTGCGGGACGCAAGACTTATATGATCGTCTAAGTCGTATAAGTTACACGTGACTTGAGTGACTGCGGTAGCGTTTTTCAAAGTGATAGCGTTTGTTTTTGTTAAAGATTACAGTGCCTTGTGCAGCGTGCAAATTTGTAGCGCCATATAGTGCCCAGGTAGCCACTACCAGTGTGGTACTACTTACCAACTTAGTGGTTTTACTTCTAAATATGGGAAAATTATTTTGACAGTTGTTTAAACAAAACGACAATCAAATATTAACCATTGTATTTGGCAAGTTTATATTTTTCATCTTCACTTGATCATTGGGAAAATTATTTTGACAGTTGTTTAAACAAAACGACAATCAAATATTAACCATTGTATTTGGCAAGTTTATATTTTTCATCTTCACTTGATCATAACTAGTATAATGTGCAACAAAACTAGGCTTTATTTACATGACATGGTCTGACAGCAGTATTTTTTTAAATTCTATGGTCCCGCCCCGGGGCCACCGCCGCCGCCGCCTAGGGCTAAATTTGACCCCAAAAAGCAGATTGATTTAATTTATTAAAACGGTATTGTCTGTAAATACCTTGATAGGGATTATTATACCACAAATCTCCACTGCGTGGTAAGTACTACGTTAGTGGGGATTTGTGGAACATACCCAAAAAAACCTTCAATATTAAAAGTTTATAAATACTGTCGGCTTTAATTTATTTCTTATTTTTATAAGATCATCGATTCGTTGTACATATTTATAAATACCATGATATAATACATAAATATAAAATATTTATACGTAAAGTGAAAGCAAAACGTTTCAATGCTTAAAAAATATTGTTATTTATAGGAGATATTTTCTGAGATACTAAAAAGGTTGTAGACAAAATATGCATAAACTACAACGTTTATAACTCTAATTTTCCTTTTTTTTCCAACTTCCTTGCAAGCGTGATGAAAAACATTGTACGCCACACAAAAACCTGTGCCTCTTTTCGTAATTGTCTATGTGATACAGCATACTATATTATGCTATAATTAATTGTTACCACAAGTAACACAAAGAAACCCTTTTGTGTTACGATGTTTCGGATATTTGAAAATTATCCTGTGGACTGTGGATACTGTGGACGCCCTGACATATTGCTACGTAACTTTCAGCCTGCACAAGGACTAAATTAATGGTGCTGTAGTTTTTATTTTACCGTTCAGTAGGGCAAAGTGGTTTTAAAAACAAAAATAAAAAAATAATTGATTTCCTTACCTGTTTTTCAACATTTGAAGGCCGGCTTCTCTGTTGTTCCAATAACACAGGCCTCTGTTTTACAACTGAAGACGCGTCTATGCTATCAATTTCAATAGGTTTCTCTGGTATCACTGCAATAAAGAATACAGTTTTGGTTGATAAAAATATGAAATTGTTTTATAAGACTTTTGCATATTTAATGAAGTTGTTCACATATCGTACTGTTAATACAATAGTGTATTAAATCAAAAAGTGTATTTTTTCAGAATTGATGAAAAACGAATGCTCCTCGTGAAAGATCATTAAAATTTATGTATAGGGTAAAATTTATTACTGACATCTAAGCAATTTCCTACTGGCCCAATTTTTTAAAAATAAAAGGGAAGAAGTAATTTCATATTTTTGAGCTAGGGCTGTGTTTTGGCCAGAAGAAGCTTACAATAAATTTTGTCTCATTTTGAGTTAAGTAGATATCTTTTAATTGATATTTACAATATTCTTTCGACGGCTTTATTGACGTGTAGAGAATCAAATTTTGGTTTAAGCAATGATTTAATTCTGTGTGTAATGATTCACATATTTTGAGTTACAACACTATTGTAATATGAGTGCGATATAGTACAACACGATTAACTGTCGTTCACGACTCTTTTAACGTTACGACGGCAGACAGTCGTGATATGAAAACCGGCTAAAAGCGACAGTCGTCCAACGATAGATAAAACGTTACGACATAATGGGAACGCGCCCTTATAACGAATTTGAATTTTAACCGATTTCAAAAAAGGAGGAGGTTCACAATTCGACTGCAATTGTTTTGTGCTTATGTTACGCGATTACTCCGACAATTGGGAACCGATTTCGATGATTCTTTTTATGTTGGAAAGAGGATACCTCAGTAGTGGTTCCATTCAATTTAAAGAAAATATTCCACCACTAACAGTGGCAAATTAGGGGATGAATCCGGTTTATTAGATTTCACCCGCTTTCTGTTAAGATTTCAATAAAACTTGGCAAATATATATATATTTTTTAATTATTTAAATTATATTTTTTACATGAAAGCCTTACTATAATTGAATGATTTATATAAGTACTCCTATTTTGACAATTTACATGTTATCTAATTTTTTTATGAAATAAATCTTTATTATTGACCTGACCATCCGAACTATGGTACTCACCATTAACAGCTGGTGCACTTGTCGGCATATTAGCTTCCAGTTCCCGTAAGTTATTTATCAGAAGCTGGAAAAGCTCCCAGTCACCAAATGGCAGGTCCAATATCTAAAACAAGTCCGTGATACTAAAATTTCGTAATGAAATAATACCAAATTTTCGTTAAAAATGGTCCAAATTAGTGTTAAATAGTGAATCCCAAAATAAATGACTTACTTATTGGAATCTATAAGAAGATTTATCAATAAAAAAAAACTGTTTGTACTCGGCGATGGAATTCGAGATACAAAATGTAACCAAGGGTGTTTACTAGTAAATTTTTTATTCTAACGAGAATGTTTCAGGGATACGCAACCTCAGACTGCCCTGTTTGTTTATATGGTTTTTGATGTCTTATAGATAATGTAAAAGAGCGTTTTATTATTAGTATTATTACTAATAGATGGGTATACAAACAAAAACAATTTTTAATCTTCTCAATAATAAAGAAATCAACATTGAATATGGGCACCACAAGGTCAGAATAAAAAGACCCGGACAAGTCTGATATGATAAATGATAATCTGGCACTATTTATAGACCCGGACAAGTGTGATATATCAAATGATAACCAGGCACTATTTATAGGGATTGATCGGTCGGAATTGGAAGAGAAGACCACACAGATAATATACTTTTCCATAATAATTATTAATCGTGTTAACAAAACACGTGTTAAAATTGTTAAAAACTTTGATACTGACAGTTATTTGTAAATATTTTTCATCTCGAATTCCATCGCCGAGTATAATATATTAGAATTAATGTAGCCTGTTCTCTATGGGCGATTTCGAATTTAGTTTTACCGTTAAAATTTTGTCAGCATTTAAAATTTTAATAAATCAAATGAGGATTCAGTTACTAGAAAAGTTTATTAGGGTTCCATGGTGTACTCTGCCGTCATTAGTTGAAAGGACGCTGGAGACAAAAACTTAAAATCGAGAAAATAATGTAAAAAACGAAATTGAACACATATCTACTTTTCTCTTACGTTAACTTCATACTTTATTCACCCGGGATAAAATAATAATAGACAGATCGGCCTTTTTTTTTATCTGGGCAGTATAAATAATTTTTTTAAATGTTTCATGCGCCCTTCCAACTAAGGGCAGCAGTACTGTTATTGTATTGTCAGTGGAAAAACTGATATATGTATTCTTCTAATTCTTACCGGCTTAAGATCAGACAGTTGGCAGATGGAGAGTGCAAGGCCGCTGACCTTGTGCTGCTGTAGCGCATCACACGCCGCCGTAGCGCCCGAGCCCAGTGCCGCTCGGACCACGCTACACACGCGCTCTATGCTCATAGTAGACAGACGCAGGTTGGCTACGTCGCCCTGTGCACAAAATTTTGATTGAAAGAGCAATTTACATTGGCCACGGAACGGAATTTTCGTTACCATAGCACAATGAACTTTATGTCAATTGTGTAACCTACGAACTACGTATGAGCCAAAACGCCGGTCGCGCGTCTTCGGCATTGTAAATTGAGTGTAAAGATAGCTTAAAATGGCGATGATCAAATTCTAATGTCACATTGTCTTTTAAATTAAAAAAAAAGGTGAACGACTTGTCTCTTTTAACCTTGCAATGAGTGCAAGAACGCAGGTTTGGTAAGTTAACCTGTTACCATTTACGGGGTGTGTGAGAAAAATTCCACAAAAACATCCTTATATCACAATTGACTTTTATCTGGATTTAACCGAAGAACAGCTCAAGAAGCTCGAACGTCTACAAAACTTTTGCATCCGTTTCATTTATGGTCTGAGGAAATTTCATCGTGTTTCTATTTACTGCAAGGAGCTGAAGTGGTTACTCATTAGACTTCGCCGGAATGCTCATATTCTTAATCTTCTTTATGGCATCTTATTCATTCCTCACACACCACCCCATCAGTCCAACCCCGGACTTCTGCGCTCATTCAACTCACCAGCTTAAGATGCCCTTGCATACTTCCCAGTACTACGACAAGTCCTTTACTGTTCAGGCTATTCGTTTGTGGAACACTTTACCTTTGTCTATTCAACAAGCAAAATCATTGAATATTTTCAAAAATATGGTAAAAGAACACTACCTAACTTTAGTGTGACTTGAATTGCTTAGGTATTTTTATGGTTTAAAATTATGTTTTAGAAATTTTATTTTTATAGGTGTAGGTATATATAGTAGTTTATGATATTCATATATATGTATTGGGTTCATTATTTATAAATATATGTATATTTATATTTATTTATCGTTTTTCTATCTATTGATTAGTAATTCTTCATACACCGCCGTCTTTTTCTTGTGAGTTATAGAATTACTTCCATCCAAAAGTTGTCTGGCAGAAATTGCTTAAAGCGATAAGACCGCCCATTATATTACTGCTTATTTTTAATTTAACTGTATTTGATTTGTTTTCTTTTTTGGTGTACAATGAAGAATTTTTGTATTGTATTGTAAATTAAAAAAAACAAAAACATTAATTACCTCACTTACCAGGCTGGGGAAAGCAGTTTTTAATGTCTGATAAGGGTTAAGGAGCGGCGGCGGCAACGGCGGCGGCGGCGGTGCTTGTGGTGCCTGATGCATATTTGAATACGACGAGGGCAGAGCTTGAGAAAAGAAGTTCGAGCCTGTGTTGGCCCAGCCAACCCACATCGGTTGGGGGGCCACTGGACCAGTAGGAACGACATGGTGGGGTGGCGATATGCGCTGAAATAAATGTTGTCGTCAGGCCACTGTTTATCGCAATCGCACACGGAATCGGCAATTAATTCAATATTATGTAAACAAAATAAATGAATAATTAATTTTCGTAATTAGTTTCGTTTTTTTTTTGTTTCCGGTACAGCTTTCCAACTTTTCAGTTCAATCAAAAACGACTCAGAATTTAACTCACATTTTTTCTTTGGAATAATTTTGAATGCGGGTGGCGCTGTTGAGTAGTATTGAAAATCATATTTCCCGCTGCTCCTCCAGCTCCGAGGTCTTCTTCCACTCCTGACTGCATTTGTTCCTCTGTACACAGTAAATACAGTTCAGAATATGCATTAAAAGTCAATATAGGTGTAAAATAAATTCGAAAGTCTGTGGTCACTACAAATAAAGAATTCTGCCTTTTCTGTTACCATCTTAATATTCCTGACATTCTAGTTGTTGAAAAACAAAATATTATGCCAATTGAATATTATGTGCGCTAGTACACTTGAGGACATCAATTGAGATTTTTTTAAATTATATTCTGTAAAACTGTGACCGGCAAATAGTCTAACGGCACACGAGATGCGATACTAAGATAGTATTCTTAATATTGCAAAGGCTTTAACATCTTGTGAATCACTGCTGTTCACAAGATCTTAAGCCTTCTAAAGACTGCGATGGTTCTCCTACCCTCAATTCAGAGCACAATAACGCTGCTTTGCGATAGAAATAGGTAAAGCGATAGTACCTATTCAGATTCTACACATAGATCCCTACCACAAGAGAATAACAGACGGAGAATCTAGACAAAAGTAAATTTGTAAAAATAACAAAAGACAATCCAATTCAAATATCCTTTTATTAATCTTGTTGTCTTGTCATCTTTATTTCATAGGTAAGTAAATTACACTTGAAATCGTCATAGTGATTTAATTCTACCCCTCATTCGTAAGATAGATTCCCCTCAGAACAATGAGCAAGAAAGTCTAGGGGTTGCTCTTTGTAAAAACATTTATCATTAAAATATTTATTTCAAACATCTTAGATTGAGGAAACTTGCAGGAGCTAAACAAATACGAGGAAACTGTATCAATTCATAACCATACTAAAGGTTTTTGTTTCACTAAAGTTGTAAACCTCGTATATGGTAAATTTTGAATATCAACCGGAATCGATTGTCGAAAAAATTGTCGAAATTGTCTCTCATAGAATTTTGACAATTTGTGACTTTGTGAAGACGACTGTCACGATCACTGTCGCTGCAGTTTATTTTTATTCCTTGTATGAACGTTATGATTGGTACTATTTTTCATAAAAGAAAATATTATTCTTCTAGTTTTCTCTGTCTACGTTCTTAACATAAACTACATTTTCATAATGTTCTGCGACGCTACTGTAAAAATGCAAATATAACATCATTGTTAGAATGTTAATCTCTTTAAACTTATCTCACAAAGACAGATAAGACCCCAGAGAGGTTGGGGCACAGATTATTAATTGTCCTAACCGCGTGTTTCTACGGAACAAAGATTCTTTTAATATCGGCGGTATCACCCTAAAGCAAAATGCCGTATGTCATGCATGGGGAACGCATAAACAACTATGCCTATTAATCCTTTAAATCGTAAAGACGTGTTTCAACAACATAATAGCTAGCCTATGTATAGTCCCAGTGTTGGGCGCAGGCCTCCTCTCACAATAGCGTAGTTCCTACGCGGGTCCAGTGCGGATTGGGAACTTCACATACATCATTAAACGGTTTTGCAGATGTATGCGATTTCCTCACGATGTATTCCCCCATCGAAAAGCTCATGGTAAATTTCAAATTAAATAACAAATACTATTACTGTCTGTCGTTATTTTCAAGCCACGAGCTTCAACATAATAAAGAAATTCTGTCGGTTGTTTCAATTTCTGCTCTGGTGAATGTTGGGACTTACCTTTAATAACCTTCTTGATATAAGGGTCCAAATTAATAGTGAACGGTAGGAAGATCTTAAGGTCAGCAGCTGTAAGCGTAGAGCGGTGAAAACTGAGGAATACTTCCAACTTGCGTTCGTCACGGTCAAGTTCCATTAAAGAACCAGCTTCTCGAAGATTTGTCATTAAAGGTTTCACTCTAAATGAAAAAAAAAAAGGCATTACACTTATTGTACACATTAAACAAATGAGATCAAGCTACTAAGTTTAACTTAGTTCTGCAAGTTACAGAATTTTTAAAATTGATTCTCTCAATTTTCGACTCACGAAATTGATGTCTAAAGACAATCCCAACGTCGGAACAGAACTTTTCACCCATTAAAAACAAGTCAAGGCTTTAAATCCTTATGGAAGCAAGCAGCTGCTATCCACAAATAATCAACAATAACCTGCCCCCTAACCTTGTAACTTCAAAGTTAGTTTAAAGTTCCGCGTTAAATGTCAAATCCTACATTTTCGAAACTAATTCCCGAATTTCAGAAATTGAAACATGAATAAGGGGTTTGAGTGCATTTAGGACTTGAGATTTCACTTCGAATGTAAAACCGATTGTCAATTTTAGTAGTTAACGCTCTGTTCTACAAGAAGCCTCGGTGGCCGAACGGTTACTGAGCTGGTCTGCCACGCAGAGTTCCCGGGCTCCATTCCCAGGGCGGGAGAATTATTTGTATGCCTACTTTTATTTCTCTCGTGAGTTTAGGTGTAATTTGCGGTCGTCTAGGTGTATATTGGCACCCGCGATACAGGGTTTCCCCAGTTCGGGGTTATGAGTGTGTGTGCGGTATTATTATTATAGGGCGCTCTCGTCGATTTACCATAAACTCAAATTTGGGTACAGTTGATAGCACACACTCAGTTTTTACTTTATGGACTTTGGACTGTTCTTATCATAAGGGATATAGATATTAATTTAAATCTTTAAATTTGAAACTCTTCAATGTGGCCTAACATTTACCATTAAATTTTATGAAATATATTTATTAATTCTATATGTACTTAACGGAGTAGTTAATGAGCTTAACTATTATACCGCTATATTTATGAATAGCAATCCCATATACTGACTTGTCATAAATATGCTTGAGCGACGTAGTGTCGTCAATATGTTCCTCGTAAGTCTCGTGATGATAAATGATCCACGAGGTACGGAATGGCCACTGCTCCGTGAGATTCACCCACGACGCCAGTTGGTACCAGTTGAATTCCACTTGGAATGCTTTTAGGAGGCGACCTGAAAGGAAAAGTTAATAGTATAATGAACGATGAATCAAGTCAAAGGCAGTTGTCTTACTCCGATGGTAAAAGGGTGTGAATTATATGTAGGTATGCACGTTGACTTCATACGAAATAAATAGTACGATTAGCAGCAGCAATATGGTAGGAGGTTTTGTAACATCCTGTAAAGTGGTCACTTCTCATAAGCCATCAGATAATTTAAAGCAGCGTTTCCCATTTGTTGGGTCGCGACTGGTACCACGCCGGTACCAACCGAACCATCAAAATAAAACACCGGGTCGCAACATTCCCGCCTTGTTGAAGTTGAACCAGACCTCAGGATAAAACTTTCGTCATTTTCTGCGTACTTGGATTCTTTACTAAAAAATAAGCAGCAGATCCATACTTCGTAATAAATAAGCGATCCCGAAACAATATTAGGCAGTATGACAATTACCGGGCCATGGCAGAATAATGTTTGGGAAACACTGTTTTAAAGGAATGTTCACTAGTGAGAGCAATATAGTTAAATGTGTTCTTTTTGTTTTTATTTATTTCTAATATTTTATACTTTGTACATCTTTAGTCACAAGTGAAACTCGAAGAATTAGACATTGATATTACCTCATAACCACTTACCAGTGACGCATGACATTCACACACCTATCCATATCGACGATGAGGTTGCTACTAAGCAATAATCAGTATGGAGTACTAAAAAATACCGAATTCTAAAGTTCGTGGAATTACATCTATTTGCCAAATTTTATTGATATCGGTTACCGAAAAGTGCGCGAAACCGGATTCATTTCCTAGTTTGCCACTCTCAGAGGTGAAATATTTTCTTCAAATGTGAAAAAAATGGGTCGGTACTACCTCAGTAGCCTCTTTCCAATAAAAAAAAAATCATCAAAATCGGTTTACAGAGCCGGAGTTATCGTGTAACATACATACAAAAAAAACAGACTGATTGAGGACCTCCTCCTTAAACAATTCTAATCATTTACTACTGGAGCATTGAAACACCATGGGGCTAAAGATACGGATATTTGTGACTACTTACCAGTGACGTACAGCACGTTCATAAGCCGCCTCATGCTTCTAGGGTTGACGTCACTGAAGTAATCATCCGTCAACAGCACCCTTCCAAGGTCAGCGGCTCCTCCTGCCGGGGCCGACGCTGAAGCCCTATGCAACCCTGAGGCTATAGAAGACGCGACCGAATCTGACGGGCGAAGTCTTCGGGCACGCGCCGCAGCCGTATTGCTACCGGGACCATCTTTTGACGACTGGTTTTTTATCCTTTCTTGACTGGACATTACTTCTGATGTTGAGGATAGGCGGCGTGCGGATACCTGTGTCGACAAGGTTCAGAATTTAATCTATGTTTGTTACGTGTGACGTTTCATGTCGAATAATAAACACTATTATGGAGTTTTCTTTTGTACTTACAGATCTTTGCAGCGACGTAGAGAAGTCTTCAGAATTGATAACCTGCATGCGTTTAATGGCAATCGCCTGCGCCGTTTTCACACGCCGTAGTGCAGAGTTTTGCAGGTAAAATGGCAGTTGTACCATATTCCGGAGATAGTCCCAACCGCCAATGTTACTTTCGGAAAATGCTCGACGACTGTTTATTTCCACTGCCTGATAAATTGTTTAAAAATTGTCAGTACATACAACTTACAATCCCATAACTTGGAGGAAAATCACACGGATGAAAGGAAGACCAAATTTGTAAAGTACAATTTAAACATTGATATACAATCTACTATATAATCTTGTTTATAAAAAGTATCACTATTTAAAGAGGCGTCATTTCAAAATAATATTTGGATTACAGAAATGGTCATTTTGGTTTGCTTCACTCTACTAAGACTACTTTCACTCTTCGATCATTAATTGATCATCACGTAACGTATGTACATTTGTAGATTTTCATAAAATACAACTGATAGTTTTAAATATATTCACGAGTACGTTATAACACGAAAAGTGACAAGCATGCAACACTGAAAAGTATTGAATGTGCGATCTGTACACATAGTAAATAAAATAACCAATGAAATGCCAACACCAGGCAGTTGTGGAGTCATGCAAGGAAATATTCACAACACCGACTGTTAAGCTAAAAGGAGGAATGGTGTGATTCCGCGACTAACCTCCATCCAAGCGACCTGCACATAATATATTGTGTAAATTTTTTTAAAGCTAATTGCTTTTATGGACTATTCAACTAATACAATTTTTCAAAACCTAATTAGGTAGTGTGCCGATTAAAACAACATTATACAATAAAAAAAAAGAAAATTTTTAGTAAGCAAAAGCTCTGAATTTTAAAAATGATCAAGATTAAACATTTTCAACAAGTTATCTACCTCTGCAAACTGTAGTGAAGTACGCAGCAATTTTTAAAAGGGCTTAGTGCATGTAGTCTATTATTTTGTTAGGAATAATATTTAAAAACGAATATAAGAGAGCAGACTTGATCACATTCAAATTAGAGTTAAATAATTTTAACGATGAGGTATTTAACAACAATCTTTAAGTTATATAGCACAACTATATCCCACCTTGCTTATGATATGCGGGTCGATCGCTAGAAGCAGTATGAACGGACTCTTTGGGTCGGAACATAGTGCATGTACTGCATTGAGTAAGACGAGTACTTTCTCCTGCTCGCAGCTGTCTAGGGCATCCACTACTACTACTAGACGTGTTTGTTGACCCGTGAATGCGTCTAGGCATGATACCTGAGAAGAAGAAGAGATTAAATAAATAACCACGATGATTTTTTTTTTATATACACCTATCATGAAATGAAAAATATATATTAACCATGTTTTGGATAGAGACAAATAAAACATATGAGCGGTCACATCAATACCATTTGAACAAACAAAAAAAAATAATTTGAACCTTAGATTAAATTGATTTTAGCATGAATGAAAAAAATACTTTAACTGTCTTCGTGGCCGAAAGACCACCATGCTGAACTGCCACGCGGAGGTCCCGGATTCGATTCCCGGGCCGCTAGAAATATTTGTACGGCCTACATTATATTTACATTATATTTATTTCTCACGTGAGTTTGGATGTAATTTGTGGTTGACTATGTGTGTGTTCATGGCACCCGCCATATCGACCCCTCCTACGTAAAGTATCGTATGTAGAAATTGCCAAGTTTACATGGGACACGTTTTAAAGTTTTGAATTCACTGAAATTAGCATAACACGTGACTTCAGCATTTCTCAGTTTTATTCGGCAAAGCTCGTTACTCACATGGAGTATTATAAAATCCTAGATATCCGTTAGATGATCTATAATAATCTATTAGATGATCACTCTTTCAGTGAATTCAGAACTTTAAAACGCTCGTCTATAAACTTGGCAATTTGGACATACGATACTTTACGTAGGAGGGGCCGATATAGGGTTTTCCCAGTGCGGGGCTATGAGTGTGTACTTTATTAAAAATCAATGAAAAACAACTTACAATATCAGTTAGAGTCTGCACTTCAGGTCGCAACGCCAATGTAGGCGCGTCTTTCTTCAACGATCTTGCAAGTCGTGTCCTCGGTGGCAGTACAAGTGAGGTCAACACTCGACCCCACGTATACAGGTTAGCCAGCACTATTACAGCGCCGAGCGCGCACGCGCCGTACATCAGCCCCTGGTGGATATCACGCCGCCTGATCGACGACGACCCACTCTCACTGAGTCGTCGTTTGTACACTATTTATCTCTCTAAGATTTACTATTTTATTTTAAGCGATTTTATAGCTCATCCTGATTATTAGGATTTTTTTTAATCATGAGATGTTCGGTCAACCAGTTTTTGATTAAAATGGTATAAAAAAGTAAGTAAATTAATAGGTGTGAAATACCTCAGAGAGTGGTCAAACGAAAGCTATTATATATACAATAAAATGGATAGAAAATAGTTGATGCTTACATTGGATACTCGTCTTTTGGGTTAAGGTACATGACGATTATGCAGAGCCCCAACAAAATGCACGTAAAGCAGATTTCGAACGTTATTATGTGAGGTACACAGCACATGCGACGCCATCTATTGGAAAACAAAATAAGTCAATACTGGGAATAAAGTATAATAGTACAACTTCAAAATCTAAAATATTTTGGCTTCGAGAGAAAATCCAATTAGGTTGATTGACGTTTTTGATATTTCGACTAATATACTTTCTTACATTGATTTTGAAAGCTACTTTTGTTTATAATTTATCAATTTATTTTACTTACTTCCATCCTGATGTAGAAGAGACAGGTTTAGGTCTAAAAGCCCGAGTCAGTCTGCAGCAAACCCTCCCGTACTGACACTCCAGCGCCTCGGCCAGACTGGCTACCATTTGTACAACCATTGCTTCCCCTTCTTGGCCACCGCCACTTTTCATGCCTTCGGTGAAATGGAACCTGCGACAATGAACCGTAAGCTTTATATTACACATTTATAAAATAAGTTTAATTTTGATCTTAAACTATATTCAATGAAGCATATAGTACTTATTTTAAAACTTACAAACATAATGGTTTTACTAGTTCATTAATTATAATATTGAACAAGATTGGTGGTTGTTACAATTATAATACAAAGATGTTCGACTTTGAAAAAAATCGGTCGATCTGGCCAGATTCACAAAAAATAATTGGTTTGATGAAGTAATATAGGAAAAATAAAATACCTTATAGGTGTAGCCGGCAATGCTCTAGGGTCGTGAGGGCCAGGTGGATGGCAGAATACCACCTGTAGCACTAATAACAATGAACTAAAGTTGCGACCCAACGCCGACATCACGCCGCCAGTCCACCACCATTCATACCTGAACAACAACAAAAAAATATGAAGGAGGGACAAATAAATGTAATTGTTTTAGTCTTCTTCGCTCAGACTTTAAGATAACAATTTTGTTCTATGTTCATCAACAGAATAAACAACATAATTGGACTGAATATTGCAAAATCCAACTTGGATATAATAATATATATAGCATTATTTTTATTTATCCATATCATTAACATCACAAACAACACTTTTGTCCAGTTTTGTTGGCAATATAGTCCTTGCGAGGTTGCTTGTATTTTACAAATACTTTATTAGTTTTACAAATATTGACAAATTTTTACCTGTTTCCCAAATACCACAGAACATACAACGCCAAGTAAATAGCAGCAAAGAGCCCAAAGCACACAGCTACCGCAACATAAGTAGGCGTGCCGGCTATGGCTGCGCAGGCGCCTAGCGACAACGCCACGTGCCATGCAGCCCACGACACTGCCCACGACCATGTCCACCCGATCTCGCTCCACTGACGAGCAAAGTTTTTCATTTCCTCTGTTGAATGGTGAAATATACTGTTACTTTATTGTTTATTTACATTATTATTATTACTGTCTTTTGCGAATACCTGCAAATCACTCATAAATATTCTCTCAATTCTTTTATGAATTTTATATTTTGTTGAATTGATATTAAATTTTATTATTATTATTAATTATTTTTGTGAAATTACTCCACTAGTTTGTTATAATTATTAATCTGGCATAGAATGCTAGAAGACGTCGGTTCGATTCCGGCCGGATCGAAGGAATTTTTTCTAAGTGTTCAATCTTTGTATTAATAATTATAACAAACTAGTGGAGTAATTTCACATAAAAATAATTGAATATCAATTCAATAAAATTTAAAATACAGTGAACACCGACATCTCTAGTCGGGGCTGGTAGCTGTAAAGGTATCTAACTGGGTAACGAAATACTTTCATAAATTTCTCAAAGATGGCACTAAAAAGTCGTTGAAAAACCAAATACAAAGACACGACAATAAGCACATAGAAAAATTCGAAAGTTCCGCTTGTTCGTTCCGAGGCTTAGTTGGTATAGCGTCTGGCACGGTATGCTAGAAGACGTCGGTTCGCATCCGGCCGGATCAGAGGATTTTTTTCTATTATGAATTGTCAATTTTAAGCGGTTTCCTATCATATATCACAAAACATCTAATCCAAGGTCTTGAGCATTTTTAGCCGATGAGCGTGTATGAAAGCATTGGTGCGTGTGGATAAGGCGAAAGATGTGTCAGTCAAGATTGTATCAAGTGAAAGGATGTGGTCTCTACCTTCTTGAAAACAGTTAAGTTTTATAATAAGAATAAAGACTGAAGATGGGCAGGTATTTTGAAATATTAATAGGACGACTTTCAGTGGAATTAAGGAGTGCAATGATATTTCTGCAAGATGAAATGTGTATCCTCTATTATCATTATATGGAAACTGTGAACATTTAAAAGTTTCTTAACAATCAAACTCAAAGAGACAAAAGAGTGAGAGACTGAAAGGAATAAGGATTAGCGTCATGGTACTGTATTTTTTTATTGTCATGTAAACGAACTCAACCAAGGTGACAATTCTCACACAAGTTCATATTGACTACGTATTAGTGCGGTGAATAAGAATCGATCGATACAAGTGTAAAGATGAATACAATTGTTAACTAATGAAAGGGAAAATAATGAACCAAATGTACTTACCCTTAAGCTTATTGAGCAAAAAAGATTTCCCCGAACCCCATCGGGCGTAGAGTCCCACCGTAATAGGCACAGAAAGACTCGGTTCTGACAACATATCGGCTAACGCCGAGCTATACAATTCATATCCCAACATGTTCTCATTGTCTTCGTTCGTATTCAATTTTCGAGCTCCGAAAATTTGTCCCAATATTGTCTTATTGTAACTCATGTCTATGTTGTATGGAGTCTCATTTTGTTTATTTGGCTTATATAATAATTGACTATGCTTCGGATTTCTCAGAAGAATTTCTACTATTTGCTGAAAAGAAAATATAATTTTTAATATTGTAACTTGACATGCGTGATCGATAATGATGACATCTTGTAATATGACTCTTTTGCACATTTTTAAGTTACTGATTGAAGAAACAAACATACTACTCAAAACATTATATACGTCGAAAATGGTAATAGTCTTTCAAGGTGACATTCCCAACCCACGTTAGGCAAGCCTGTGCAACCTTGTTTCGGCGTGTACACAGCAATAAAGTAATATAGCAATTGTAAGATAAGACTAATCTGTATGTGTACCTTATGTTCAGACTTTGTTGAAAATTGTACCTAACGTTATTTAAAGCGTGCAGTTTCAATATTTGTATAATTAAGTTTGTACCGTGTGTTCTCGTATTACCTTAGAACGTGCCCTCATAGCGATATGTAGGGCGGTGTCCCCGCGATTGTCTGCGGCATTGACGCGTGCCTTGCGCTCCAGTAGCAACTGCACCATTTCCGCATTGCGAGATCGCACGGCGCGCAAAAGGGGCGTATCGCCACTCTAAAAATCATATTTGTAGATAGTATTTTACTTTGTATACTATTTTATTTTAAAGCAGCAGTATTAAACACTATAAAACAAAATATAAACGAACAAGTATTACAGCAAACGAGATGTGTACTTCTATTGAGAGCCGACGAATGAACATTAGTTGCAGTCACCAGTATCTCAATCGAAAGTATGTAGGAATGACATTACTAGCGACCGTATAAAACAATTGAATGATGAATTTTAGGTTTTCTTATGATCGATAGAGCCGCTGTACTATTTCATGAACTCATGACAGGGTCAGCCAAATCCCATTTCCAATTTTTCAGTTTCTGAAGTTCAGGAAGTTAGGACTAAGTTCCAATAATAACATAGAGGTCTTAGATTTTTATTTGCGTTACAACAGTAGAAATAAAAGTATTTCCTCTGATCTAAAATCGCGTATATATTTTTGTTTTGAAACAAACCAATGTTGCGGGTTCTTTACAGGTCCAATGGTTACATAAAGAGCTCGAAATACTGATTTGTTTGATACATTGCGAATTAGGCTCACTTGACATTGCGGCGGAACGGAAGGGAAGAATATTTTTCTAACGATGTTGGTTCGTATCTAGTTTGTACTGGGTCAAGAGCACGTGAAGGTTTACACTTAAGGCTTAAATCCAACTCTAAACCGATTCCGATAAGAACGGTCCAGAGTACAAAGTGTCAAGCTTGATGTGCTCTTGAGTGTACGTTACACAATTGACCATAAAGTTCATTATGCTACGTACAATATCGTTACGAAAATTTGCTTCTGCTTTGCTTAAATTACGTTCCACCGCAATATAAATTGAGCCTTATATCCCAGAAAATAGTTTCATTTTCAATAAATAACTTGATATAGAATAACGGTTGTTCGATACAATCCGACCGCAATGTATGTCCGACTTCCGACTCCAACTTCCTTACCCCCTTCGTCCAACTTCAACTGGTTGGGTATAAAAACGTCATTTTATTATTCATTAGCTTCATTAGCTTTTACCGAAATGATAGCGAGTTATTTTGAATAAACTGGACATATCATAATTAATACAAACTGCGATCATACCAAGGCTCTCAGGGTTGTATTAATAGAGAAGTTGATAGACATTTCAGTCGGGCTGTAATTACGGATTTCCGCGAGCGAACTAGCTATCATGGTAAAGGTATATATATATATATATATATATATACTTACAACAGTGCAATGTTCTAAATCAGGATTAGAAGCAAGCAGCAGCTTTAGTACAGCGACGTGTCCTTTCTCTACCGCAGTATACACTGGTGTCTTTTTATCCTTGCCAGGTAAGTCCACGTCAACGTGTTTCTTTAGCAACGCTTCTACTATATTCTTGTGGCCACCTTTAACTGCGTTAATGAGTGGTGTGTCTTTTGAATGATCCTGTAAAAAATAGGTTCGGAATTAGCAAAACACAAATATCATAAAGGTAGAAGAGTTATCCCAAAAAATTATCTAGTTGTAATTATTGATATAAAGATCGGCCTAAAGCAGCAGGCTGGTGCGAACCAGCTACCTCGCTATACCTATGTTATGGACAGGCGTGTAGCTTACCATCAAGCACACGACTTGTTCGTTCCATCATTTGCTATTTAAAAAATATATATAAATGAGTTGATAATGATAATAGTGGAGTATTTTAATAAAAAAAATAAACACAATATGATTATCGATAGTAACCGGGGTTTTACCACAATTGATTTTATTTTTTCTCGATTAGCCGTGGTTATAAATCTGGAACTAGAGATAAATCGTAAAGTCTTCAAATCTATTACGAACACACAGTAGTAATAAAAATTATATTTTGTTTCAGTACAAAATATGAATTATCTTCATCCTTTCATAAAAAGTCACCTATCGTTACCTAAAGTTAGTTTTCGATACGGAATCGCATTAAGCTGGTCAGATTATGCTTACAGACAAGTATAGACGCCGCAAGTCGCGATTTGTATGAAACCAAACGTGCCATGTTTTTTGTACCTCCGACGACGTCACAAGCATTATTTTTCGTGATGGGAAATCTCCTTCGGCACTAAAGCGGTTGATTAAATCGAAGACGCGGACGCAGGACGTATTTACGATAATGATTTTTCAAGTATTTGTTGATTATAAGAGCCGTAAAATATTAATACAGTAAAATAATATAGTTCGTTCGCGTTTTGAAGCGTAGCAGCAGCAACTAAGCGCTTATAACTTACATTGTGTACGCAAGGTAGGTACACTTGCGGCGTCTATTTAGATATATGTCTGTTTTAAGCTTTATGTCCATAGAATAAGAGCTAAACAGACATTGTGCGTTTTGCGTATGACGTTTGAAATAAATATTGTAAATGATAAATGTGCACAAATAACATTTCGCACAAACAAATTTCATAACGCACACCTCAACTTAGCCCCGCACTAGGGAAACTCTGTGTTGCGGGTGCAATGGACACACACATAGACAACCACAAATTACACCCATACTCACGAGAGATATAAATGTAGGCCATACAAATGTTTCTCCCGACCCGGGAATCGAACCTGGGACCTCTGCGTGGCAGTCTAGCATGGTAACCGTTCGGCCACGGAGGCAGTTAATTACAATACAATATTTTGTAAAGATAGGTGTTGCCTAGAATTTCTTGCTTATTCTTCTCAGGAGAATCTGCCTTACAAATGAGCAGTAGAATATAATCAATTTCAAGATTTCAAGTATAATTTGCTTACCTATGAAATAAAGATTATTTTTGCGCAACATCTTTTTTGCTCTTATTGCAAGGACGTAATGCTTTTTCCACCCGACTGAAGCCGATTCCGCGTTAGTATATATGATGAGTCCCATAAGCAGAGACCGAAATAGACAGAGTATATTGTCCTAAACTTCAAGTAATCTATTAGTATTTTATCCTTTATTTAATGCCATATTAATTAATATAACTCCACTTATGAATTTCAAAGGTTCTGATATATTATTAAATAACACGTTACGTCTGCGTAAAAAACATTATTATTTTGTTTTTGCTTAATCGGGCAAAAAAAAGGAATATAATAAAAACACCAGGCTCACCTGAACATTTATATAAGCTCCAGAATTAATAAGTGCCAACGCGATGTCGTAGTATCCCTCTTTGCAGGCGATAGCGAGCGCTGTACACCCGTCCTTGTCTAGCGCATTCACATTCGGCTTGTGTTCTAACAGCATTTGAACTATTTCGAAGTGGTTCCCTGAAACAAAATCGGAAACATTCGTTACTTTGTCATATTTAAACCACGCTTCGAGGCCATTTCAGGTCTCGAAACGATTATTTATTTGATTTCCTATAGAAAAGTAAACTATTTTTTTCGGGTCTAAATTGCGTATATTCGTTTTTTCGAAACAAAGCAACGTTTCGGGCCATTTACATGTCCCATGGTCACGGGTGACTGGGTCTTGTAAAGGGCCCGAAACGTTAGTTTGTTTGAAAAAACAAATATACGCAATTCAGGTTCGAAAAAAAAAAGGTTTCATTTCCTATGTGTAACAATGGCGAAAACCTAAGAACTCAATAACATTTCCTATATTTCAAAGATGCTTGTCCCTTATCTTTGCAACATAATATATATACCTTGTGTAGCCTGAAGTAGCGGTGTCCAGCAATACATGCCGGCAGTGTTAGGATCTGCCCCAGCGGCTAACAAGTCAGCGCAGGACGCGACATCGCCTGCGCGCGCGGCCCATGTCAACGCGGACGTCGCATATTTGTCGCACGAGTTTGGACGCGCGCCTGCCGCTAGGAGGCGCTTTACAATACTATTGTGTTTACGACCTGCTGCCCACACTAATGAACTGAAATAGGAGTGATAATTTTGTTTATTAAAAATAGATTACTTGATGAAAATGTACACATAGTAAAACACTGTATGTATGATCTATAGAAATAAAAATGTAGTCCAACAACTTTTCACGCAGATTTTTCTGCTGTTGAATGTAAACAGTACGGCTGGAAGATATACGTATCAACAACTAGCTCATTTGGACTTATCTAATAATAACGTGACATGTATGTTTATGTTGATTTACAAAAGAGGTACAAAAAATACACACCATTTCAACGTTAATCGAACATTTACAAACAAAGCCACAAAATAAATACGTGGAAACCGACCACAATGAAGTTGTAAAGTAACATAAAGTAAATTACACGGCACAAACACGGTACACATATAATTTTCAGACTTTAGAATAAAATAGAATGGTTAATTTCATAGTTGGCTTCTGAAGCTACATTTGCTATCGACGACATTGGCTTTTATAAATAGTATCTGCGGTCGCCACAACCACATGCTTCATATGCCATATGTTTATCATGAATATGGACAAACACTTCAGAATTCACGAGCTAATATACAATCCTTGTTTACTTTGGCACCATTTATATGGATTCCCTCAAATACTAGCGAGAAAATGTATGCGACAATCGAGTCTCTATATGCAAGTTATTTACTAACCAATACAAATATACAAACATGCAAAAAATTAATTCTCCACAACAAAAAATGAGATAGAATTTATTTTAGTCTAGATGCTATATGTCTACATCTAGCTCTTATGAAATGGTAAAGAATATTGACCATCTGCTTTCACTCTATCATTTTATAACCCATATTATCATAGTGTTATAATATGTACTTACTTAATATTATAATTTTCATGTGCATGTACATCGGCTCCGCTTTCTAAAAGACACGCCACCACATCCTCGTGCCCTTTGTATGACGCCCACATAAGGGGCGTCCAGCCTGCCTGAAAATTAATAGTAATTCATAAGTCATTTTCACACTGAACAAAATAACATTTTGTGTGCCATTAATGCGAATCGAATCGTAGAGTACTCTCTCAAGACGAGACCCTATTTTTCATATATATATAAAATAAAATTCAATATAATAAAACCGAAAATAAAAAAAATAAAAAAATCGTATTTAAGTCAGTACATTCAACAGTAAATGTCAAAAAATAGCAGTCCTAACAACAATGAGATAACCAAAGGTGAACCGTGTAATGCAAAATATAAGGATAACAATGAGCAAAATTAAGCCCCAATGCTTATACCCATTTATTTGTTGTAGGTATAACGTCCATGTTATCTAATAACTATGTTATTACATTACAAAGTCGATTTAGATTGAAAACATCGGTTTTCTTGAGAATATCACCTTTATAAAAAGTAAAGAAAAAAAAAGTAGCAATAGAGCTCGTGAATGAGTTCGTCCGGGGAAATACTGCCACTAAACTTATTTACGCCGACAAGCAGAAATGTGAGTATTACTGCGGGTGCTGGCGAAACTAAAGACACATGGGACTTATTAACTTTATGTCTTAGAGAGATGAGCGCGGTAGCAATGCCCCTCAGGTTTCTGCGATTTGAAGCACTAAGTGCCGCTGCAACTGTCACGGGTATTTGTGTTGCTTACCACCTTGAAGGGGTTGTAACCCTAACAACCGTGATAAAGATCACGGCAGAACAGGAAGCTTCCGGTCCACAAATTTATTTAACGTGAACTAAAAAGTAAAGAAAAAAAATCCCTATATACAATATAATAAAACCGTATTCTGTTGAATTACAGATAGATTGCCATTCGCTTATTATGGTCGATACGTGATTTACATTGATTGTATTATAATTAAACTTGAAAAGAATAAAAACATTAGAAAATTTGATTTAGTAGTTCTATCCGCTATCGCGGTTAAGCAGGGAGTGACCGTCGAAAGAAATAAAATCAGAATGTGAAGGAAAAATGGAACAATTGAAAATTTTAAATTTATATATGAGTAGAAGAAGAAAAACGATACGATACGAATGGAGAGAGGCGATACAAAAAGGTGGGATGACGGTGTAAGCAGGTCACAGAACACATCAGAAATAAAATAAATCATGAGTCACAAATTACACATAATCATTATCATTTTAAATAGAAAGCCACCATAAAACTTAGACATATTAACTAAACTAACGTGATAAGAAGTTTAATGAATATCACGATGTTTTACTACCACAATATTCCATTATTTATTAATACAAAGATCGAATACTAAGAAAAATTCCTTATAAACGATACGCTGGAAAAACGATACGAACGAAAAACGATATGCTGGTTCGAAGGAATTTTTATTAGTGTTCAATCTTTGTATGAATAATTAAACTAACGTGAGTTTTCGTCGAGTTACCGCCGCGGATGCTCATGATTAAAGGACCACGGACTGGTTTGAAACATGTCGAGGTCGAAAAATTCGAGTTAAATATGAGAGATACTTTAATTAATAAGTAAGCATTAGACTGGAGTCGGTGGACTAAAGCACATAAGTCAAAAATTCTTCTTTTTTTTTATATATAATTATATATTTTTTTGTGTTGTTTATAGTGTTGGAAGATGTGAAGATAATGAAAAATTTGAAAAAGACGCCACTAGAATTTGATTACAAATTAACGAAGTAACAAATGAATTTACTTGTGTGCTTTAGTCCGCCGACCTCAGTATTAGAGAGATAATGTAATCGTATGCATAGTATTGAGAAAATGTCATTTGTAAATGCGGCATATTCAAATAACAAATTTAAAAGCAAATTACAATTACTTTGTATACACAAGGTATTTTAACATTAAACATTGAATGTCTGGATTTTCCATTTAATAGGTACTTGAGTGAATATAACATATTGCAACAATTGTATTCAATAATATGTAAAAACAATAAATGAAATTTTCATCTTTGCCATACGTACTTCTAAACTGAGTAGCAGAAGAAATTGTTTTAACAGTAAAAATGTACGTATAATAATAAAATTATAAAATATAGTATAATAATAATATAATTACAATGGGTAGGCCAAAAAGGCGAAAACATTTAAGACTTTGATCCTTTGATCTTCATGTTTTTGCTATCTCTCGGGTATTTTTAGAATTCCCCTTCCATAAAAAATCGTCTTTGCTTATCAAATACAATGGCTATACATTGAGATATATAAATATACATGGAGTGTCGTTTGATGCTCTCGTCGTTATCAAAGTCGTGACCATAAAGAATTTCGTAAAGATTGAAACAAGTGAAAATTTGATGGGGCTATGTCGGGCGAATTCGGTGGATGAGGTAGGTAACATATCCCCTTGGACTATGGATTTTTTTTCCATCCTCTAAGCACATTCCAACCTAACTGCAGTTTTTGACGGCTATATAACGATTTGTGTGGTTTGGCGTTATCATGTTGACATACGATACCTTTCTTCTATGAACCATAAACTAAAAAGTTTCCCGCCCATTCATAAAATGCGTTTTAAATATTATTTTTAAAATTACCATAGACAAAATAACATTTTCAAACAAAAATTTCTGTTATGTTTAAAGTTAGCTTGTGGCAAAAATAGTACGGACTTTCAGGCCAACCCATTATTATATATTTTCCTTCTTCTATAGCTGTAAGCACATTTTGTATTTATTCAAGTATTTTATTTTGAGGGGCAATGAAGGTGTTGGATTCCTATATAATGAGCAATTATTGCACTCACACTACGGATCAATATTATCTTTTAATTTTCCCTGTGACCCTGGTTTTGCCTGGAAGATGTTAGTAATAGCAATAATTGTATCCTGCCTTTGTCTTTTGTATTTGTTCTGGTGTGCAATTAACAATAAATAAATAACACTGTTAGTATCATTTATTCTAAATAACAAGAAAAGTAATATATAAAAATAAAATTTGCATTCCCGTATAATCGTGAACCAAAACTTTAATGTTTCTCTTTCCGTTACAATAGCAAAACATTATTTAATTGCGCAACCGCCTATAATAGATTTAGTAAAAACGAGAAGAGCTAACACCTTGACACTATTCCTATAATTACTTGTATACTTTCTACGCTCCTGAAAATAAGAAGACCGTGAATCAGTTACATCAACAATATGCCTGTTGACGGGAATATTTTGGCTATAAGTATGCACGGGGCTGTCAGTGACGTCTTGGCAGACATCCATGCTCGGTATAAATACGTTAATTTTATGTACTCAGTTCTGGAATACAAGTCATTGCTCTATTGTTATTTAAGGGCTACTTTATTTATAAAGCGCATATTCAATTTGCATCTATTCTTTGAAGTTGTAAGGCTGACGTACAAGTAAACTCGTAAAAAACAAATAATTAATATAGTTCAATAATTTCTGTTGACCTGCTAAATTGAAACGAAAATAACCAGGAGTATACAGCTGCGCTATCTAAATTATACCACCTAAAAACCTCACGAATGATAAACAATGGATTTTAAAAATAAGTGTTATTTGTCTAGAATAGTTTGTCTTGAGTCTGAACGTTACGCAGTAAATTGTGTTATCAGCGGTAAGATTGTTTTTAAGTAACACTAAAGTTACATAATTAATAAACATTGTTATCAATTTAGTATCTTCATCTCGGTAAATTAATTTATTGAACACAAAATTATTCAATACAATGAAATTAAGATAGTAAGTACATATAATTATATATCAAAGCCCACAGTTAAGTTTGAGTTTCTTGGGCTATTCATTACGACGTATGGTATGCTTAATGCAATATTGATTAAGTATGCTTCCAATAATCTTAGTACAGAGTACTAAAAAAACCGACCTCAAAAGTACGTGGTACCTCTATTTGCCAAGTTTTATTGAAATCGGTTACCAGAAAGTGCACAAACCCGAATTCATCTCCTAGTTTGCCACTATACGGAACTTGACACAGGAGATAATAAAAATTGGTCCTCTCTACTCAAAGTATATTGAGAGAAGAGAAAAACGCCTTGAATTGGAGAATAGCAAAATCAGCCATTAAAATAATTGCTTGTTATAATAAAATTTAGGCGCTATTTATAAAAATGAATCTTCATGCGTGAACAGCCACCCTTAGAGGTGGATGATTTTCTTCAAACTTAAATGGGACCACTATGGAGGCACGCTCTTTCCAACAAAACAAGAATCATCAAAATCCGTTCACAAATACTGGAGTTATCGTAACATACATACAAAAAAACATACAGTCGGATTGAGAACCACCTCCTTTTTTGAAGTCGGTTAAAAAATTAAGTCCGTTACTGCAGACAAAAACACATTTGCGTTCTAAGTTGAGCTTCGCAAAGACTCAAATGACACAAAACGACTCGCTGACATTCATTATTGCTACTGCTCTGAGTTAATACCTACTTGCGTTATATTTTCAAACTTATGAACACTAGAACTTCTAGAAGGATGTAATAAATGTTTAGGAATGACTATAAAATTTACATAAATTAGAAATTCTACCAATATTGAACTTCGTACTAGAAAGTTTCATGGTGCGTGTGTTGGATCAGAACAACAAGAAGAATGTGCAATAAATGTTTGAGTATGGTGTACATTAAAACTATCCAATGAATGTAAATTTTAAAGGAAGGAAATACAAAACAATATACAACGCGTATGTTAAAAACAGCACGAGAGCATAGTAAATATCTGTAACGAAAAATAATATAAATACTTACACAATCCCTCGGGTCTACGCGAGCGCCAGCGTCTAGGAGCTCCTTGACGATGTCAAGGTGTCCAAACCGCGCCGCAAAGGCAAGCGGTGTCCACCCGTCAGCGTCGGCAGCGTTCGGATCCGCATGCGCGCCCAGCAGCAGTCGTACCGCCGCTGTGCGCCCGCTCTCGCACGAGCACATAAGTGCGGTAGTGCCGTTCTATTCCAGAAAATAAAATATATACTTAAGTTCGTACGCGTACTTCAATGACTAGCCGAAAATTGCTGTGAATGGAGGAAATTTAGAAATCCGATGGAGAGATTTTTGCCCAGCAGTGGGACACTACTGAAGGCTAGCAAAAAATACATAATTTCAAATTCAAATTGGTTAGTTTTGTCTAGGTTCAAGCTACGGAGTCAATTAATATGTGCACTTAAATAGCACTACGAGGATTAGGGCACGACTTAGCAAAATGCATGCAAATTACTGTTTCGGTATCTTCAATCTGTTCAAGGAAGACGTGTTTTGACGATGCAGTGAACGGAGCCATAAAGTTCATATCGGCGAACACAAAAGGCGAAGCATAGTGCTGTTTTGGTTGGTATGGGAGTAAGTGTTGGGTAGAAGAAGCCAGAGATTAAAGTGAATGCAATAAAGTAATATGTATTGTGCGATTAAGCGACCGAGTGAAGAATACTGTGATCTGTGAACGATGTGGTATGAAAGAGGACGTAGTTACAAAAATAGGGAAAGGTGTGTTGAGATGGTTTCGGTACTTGCGGGTGAATGAAAGTAGATTGACGAAAGAAATTTATGGAGCTAACGTGAATACGACGGACATGAAGAACGCTTTCAGGTCAAATTGAGAATGTTCTTAAAAAGTATGGTGTAATAGATAAATGAAAAGATTGATGGATGTAAGTGAGGCGAAAGAGGTTTGTCAGGATCGGCAACTTGGCGTTCGATAGCCTGCCTGTCCCAACCTCAATGGGAATCCAAGGCCGCGAGTCGTAAATTGTTAATAGTTGAAAAGTGTTTTTGATATTGAAATAATAACACCAGTACCACACAATAACACACGTATATCAAATGGATAGATTTTCGAGCGCGATCTAAACAAATGTAGTTTGAACTTCTATTGGATACTAACCAATCAAATTAAATGACATTTACAAGTATAGGATTTAGAGACGTACACACCCATCGTTCACCTAAGGTCGTGGTTTGGCATTTTCCGGTTAAATTATATAGTTTTAACATTACACATTCTTGCGTCGCAGCCGATAGAAACAGCAACAATAACTGTCTATGAGGACAGGTTTAATTCATGCAAATTTATAAGGACGATTAGGAAATTATCCTTGTCAATTTGCATTAATAAATAAAATATTACATCACTTAGAATTCCCCCACACGTGATGAATGAAGAAAGTAATAACGTGCGTCATCGACGGCCCAAAAACAACCAATCGCATATTTTATGTTTACGCGATTTTTAAAACTTGTCTGATGCTTGAAAGGATACTAGTCGGTATTCTTTCCAACCGGTTTTTTGTTTACAATACAACGCAACAAAATAATATGAAGCTTTTTAACAAAATATTTGTTAACGTCACATAAAACATATTGTCTTACGTGTTAAGTATTTCTTATTAAGTAGGTACTAATTAGAATAACACGGAGAGTTTCTTCAGCAGAAGTAGATTTTTCCATTACAGTCAAGAAGATAGACTTGCTAATAATGAATCAAATGCTAGGAAATGTAATTAAGTACTCAATAAGTTAAAGAACAAAAACGCAATGTTTATACTGCAAAGTTACACACTTCTATGTAAGAAAATTATATTTTGCGTACTAAAAATTATTAATCTTTTTTTTAAACAATGATTTTGCATTAGGGGCGTGGCAGGCTCCCAAAAAAACGAACGTTTTCTAAATTGGACCCTGGGAATTAAGCCCGGATATTATCATCCGTTATGTGCTAGCAAAAAAGGAAGGTTTAAAAGTTGTGCGTAATTACATTAAGGGCAACTGTGACTGCGGCGCGCGTTAAGTCCTACCACGTCTTACTTTACTAATTTGTTACCTACTGCGAAAGAGGCGCGCGCGTGTCACGACTAAGCTTCAGTGGTTCATGAACTAGGAATTGTTATGAATTAATTCCTGACACTGACCGAAAAGTATTAATTTCTTGTGTACGATCTTAACAGTTCACCCGTCTTTTAGTTCAGTAGGAATAGGAACTGTTTGCACAGCCACAGACACGAGGTGATTTTATTGGTTCACCTGTCTTTTTAGTTCTTTCCATTGACTGGTTCCTTCATTCTTCAGTTCACGTACGTGACGCGAGACGATGCGAACGAAACAATTAGTGAACTGTTATTGCCTTTAGTACAAGTTCTAGTGATATGCACGATTGAGCCTTGCCACTCGTTTAAGACTCAAATATAAACTTATAATAATAATAATAATAAATAACGCACACACTCAACATAGCCCCGCACTAGGGAAACCATGTGTCGCGGGTGCCATGGACACACACATAGGTAACCACAAATTATAACCAAATGTATGCCATACAAATATTTCTCCCGGCCCGGGAATCGAACCTGGGACCTGTGCGTGGCAGTCATGATAAACGTTCGGCCACGGAGGCAGTATAAGTATACAATAAAGTTGTTTCATATTTACATTTATTTTCTTTATCAAATTGTTAAATTTTATCTATACACACCATGTGTAGGCAAAATTATAAAGTGAAATAAAAACAAATACAAAGACAATAATTGAGAAAAAATAACATATAAGGGAACACAACATACTACATTATGGGAATATTTATGTAATTTATTTAAGTTTACTCGTATATTCGCGACATACACGTCCGGTACTCACTCGGTTTTAGGGCCCACTGAAAATCAGCGTCACAGCCTTTTCTCGGTGGTGACAATAGCTCAGTGTGATCCTGTTACATACGCCACAGCCGCACTCATGACATTCAATCTAACTGTGTTGAATATTTAATGTTTGCTTTGTTGTTGTGTATGATTCTATTTTTATTCCTTTTTTTTTGTTATTTTATTTAAATTTTTTGTTTAAATTTACCTTAATTTTTTTTTCTTTTTCTTACAGTGTATTTTTTTTGTTGTGGCGTAGTAATAAACGATTTCCATTCTAGTCTATTCTATAAATGTGCAAAAACTTTATTCGAAAATCACAAAAAATTATTATATATATTTTATACAAACATCAATCAATCATTAAATCACATCAATAAATCGTTCATACGGATCATTTCATTCTGTCATTCAAAGACCGAAACGGTTCCTATTCGTTCCCAATTCCCAGATCCCACTAAAAGGAACGATTTAGTTCATTTGTCCGAATGAACTAAATGGGATCGCTCCCTCCTGACAGTAGCGCTGCGACTTTTTTTCCAGATATTAAAATTAGTAGTGGCGCCACTGCAGCACTTCTAATTTAAAGGCGCCCTAAGTTAAAAACCTAGCCACGAATTAGTGTGGCCAGCTTTCACGGTTGATGTCAGTGTATAGTTTGTCTGCAGAACAGTTTATATGGTCCACTATATTGAAAAATTGCGATGATCCAAATATTGGACGTGTCACTATTAAAATGGTACCAACCTCGTCCCTGTCATCAATGTGGATATTCTTATTGTTGGCGAGGTACTGTTGAAGTTCGGCGTCGGAGTCATTGTTCACTAGCTGCTGGAGCGTTTTGAAGCACGCCAGAGACACCATCGACTCGCTGCGGTGGAGGCTCTGCACAAAAGTAAAATATTGTTACAAATTTGAAGATAAGACAATACACACACTTTTTATAAACACTTCATTGTAGCACAAAATAATGTTTGCATACATATTAGATTTTATTGTGATACAAAAGACTACACGCATACGATCGAACATAGAGAGGTCTCAATGTAACAGGGGTTCCATTTTTGAGTGTTAACTTAGACGATATCCGTGGTCGAGTGTCTTGCATATCGGTTTTCATGGTGTCGCTATGTCTGAGGTCCCAGGATCACCCCCCAAATCAATGCAGAAAAACTAACTTTTTTATATTTTCTCTGGTCTGGGTGTTTGAAGTACCGTCGTTGTTTCCATTGCACATAAAATTGCAATGGCAACACTTACAATAGCAACACATTTCCATAACACAAGTGGTTTAGTTACTTACTTTGGTGTCAGAGCAACGTGTGTGATGTTGTCTAATATTTATATTTAAAGCCTCCTTGATAACTTGAAACTTAAAATGGTTTTCAGATGGTTTGGAAGTACATAATTTTTTTTTAATACTCATATTTTTGAGAATTCCCAACAACAAGAATCGCAACAAATCGAAAGGATAAACTATCCGAAAACACGTTACTAACATTAGTTAAACAAGTTTCGTCACGTTTCCCATTAAAGTGACGTTCCTATATTAATGAATCATGTTTTTTTTGTTTAGGTTACTTAAGTTTTCAATAATATTACGAACAAGAATGTAAACAGGCAAAACATATCGAAAACAGAATCAATAAAAACTTAAATTTTTTGGGGAAACGAATTTATTAAAAAAATGTCGGTTCATGTCGGTGCTTAAGAGGCTTTAAGTATTGTCAAATGGTTAAATATCTATTACAAACAATAAATAAAGCATTGACTCAGCCAAAAATATAAATTTAATTTGATGTTAATAAATTGCATCAATCCAGTTTAGCACTTGCATACTCAGTTATAAGTATCACAATCAATTAATTACAACACAGAATTGAGGCATACCTTTAAAATAAATTATTATATTACTATGATAGACTTCTCTGTGTAAGGGCGCGTGTACACGCTAAGAAAAGTCGCCGTGGCCATGCAAGAATTCGTGTCGTTTCTACACACGAACTGTGTACACTGCCTCGGCGCCGGACAAGAAAAAAATCTTGTCTACCCCCGACTCGACGCGCTCTGCCGCTATTGTATGGGGCGCATTGTCAGTAAACGAACGTTTATGCGCGTGGACTGGTGTTACAAAGTACCACTTGCACCACTAATTTTATTGCAACTAATAAAATGCATGATTTACGTTTTTCTACTAAACTTTTATAAGTTTAGTAGAAAAACGTAAGACCCGTATTGTGGGACCAAACCTTAGAGATTTATAAAGATAAACGACGTACTTTTGAGGCATGGTGAGAAATATTTATTATTCTTAAGGAAGATTTTCAAGAAATGAGAAATACGGTAAAAAATTAAATATTTGATAAACTTTTACTCGTCGCAGTGTAAGATACAGGGTACCAAACTCATCTTTTCGTTACAAAATTGGATGATTCTAGTAAATTCTTTTTGTATCTTTTTTCTTATAAAATCTTCTATACAAAATAATACCTAAAAAAATGGTGAAATGGTTTGCTTAGTAGCAAAACGACAAACGACGTAGTAAAACGACTCTACCTGGAAGACTGGTTAATGCACTGACACACGTCTGCCCGAAAGCATTCGTATCGTGTACTCATCATTTTCTTGTCTGCAACAGACACGACATATTTTCGTGGCTAGATCCGACAAAGTTCTTGTCGTGTACAAGACCATTCTCATCTTTTCTGTAGCAGACACGTCAAATTTCTTAGCGTATACACGCGCCGTAATTCTTATCATGCAAAAATAAGTTTTATAAAAAAAGCAATTAAGTTACTAAACTGTATATCAAAACACTAAAGATTATGTTTCTGTTATTATTACCTGTACTTAATTTTTATTGTCATTTCTAATTAATTGCAATTGACTTGTTTTAATACCTGTAAAAGTTCAATATTAACCCAGATCGTGTCCATAATTATGTTTAAAACAACTAATTTCTTTCAAATCATGCAATATATGTAGATATTTCAAATACCCACTGGCTCCTTAAGAGGCGGTAAACTCCAGCGTAACATAACGGGGTTTGACACTGCACAATGTAAATAATCTACTGAGTGGAACACTAGTGAATTATCGCAATTATAGTAGCCCGAGACGCGCAATGCACACAAGAGCTAGTAAACGTATGTTCCCCAGATTGTGACTTACACTAAACTGATTTATAGATTTAATGATAAGGATAACACAAGGTACAGCGATATAATAAATGAAACTGTACAGTAAAGTAATTGTGTTTTCATGAATGCGTGATATTGAAATTGTCCAGCGCAATTGACTTCAATGTTATAAAAATAACATTCAATTTCATACAGTCTATATATAATTATTTGTAGTGAACGTATTTTAATAGAATTCTAAACAGCGATGCGTAGAATGTTTATATATTCAAGTTATTGTACATCCTACACAAAACTAAAAATGATTTTAAATTGTTAGAAGGATCTATTTCATTTTAAACAGGTACACATGCAGTGACTTGCATTTTAAAGTTCACTATTTTGAACAGATCAACTGTAGCAATACAAACCGAGGAAAATTGGTATTAGTAAGTTAGTGCATAAATACCATAAAATTCAGTCATAACATCACAGCGAATAAATTCGTTTCACAAGTAGCCACGACAATCACACTGCCAATAATTCCCAGACCGTGTTAGAATGTCGCCGGAGAGCAAATCCATGGAATGCAGCGAAGGCATTGCTGTGGCGACGTTGCTGCTCGCCGGGTGGTGCCGTCACCGTGAACCGAGGGACAGCTAGGTGGGTTCCGGCAGACAAAGGCCCCGGATGATACGCTGCGCCGCCCACATGAAGTTGCAGGAACGAGGTTCTTCGTTTCTTTTCTATGATCGGCGGTGCCAGCGATTGCGAGCCAGCTATGCTGTTACTTTTCGGGCGCTTTGTTGGTGTCACCTCCTCCACTGAGAGGTTATCTAATCTATCTGATATGGAACCACTGTGCTCTATGTTGGTTGAAGACGGTATTTCACGAACCACCTCCAAAGACCTCCTCTTCTCGGCCGTGACTGGCGGCCTGGACACATTCCTTGGCTTGTGTAGATTTGCGACGAGGCATCTAATGTGTACATACTCGTCATTGCTGGAGACCGGAAGGTGCGGCGGCAGGGACATGATGTCTCGACCCGCATAATAAGACGAGTGCTCACGCCGTTCTGTGACAGATTTGTGAACGTAATGACTAAGTCGCGACACGGTGTGCACGGGCACGGCGCGTTTTGCGTGACGCTGCTAGTCGGTTATTTAGAGCGCGGCGTGGTGTAGGGCGGGCGGAGGGCAGATGACCGCTCTCTATGAATGAAAGCGGTCTGCTGATACGTACAAGAGAGTAGGTGCTGTAGGTGCGTAGCGTGAGTCGTTTCATTATCGCGGAGGCGGAACGTTGGTAAGCTCGCTCTGCGGGTAGCATCTTGCGCGGTGTCCGGTCAGACTGTGTCGGCGACCACAGCCGCCGCCGAGAGGTCGGGGCAGTCATAGCCCTCCCCGCCGCATCATTCGTGTTACTCCACGTGGAGGCAATAACACATGATTACTTCTGACCGATACTAATAATGACGTAGGTGATTCGCCTAAACATGGTGTCCGAAAAAATTGACATTCCGTCTAACGGAGTGAAAGCTGGTTTGTGTAATGTTAGGTTTTGAATTAGAATGCGCGGATTAATATTTGTCTTTTATGTGGGACATTATGTCCATTTCCTTATTAAAAGAGGAAATTTATCTACACAGGCGCGTTTCAAATTTCGTAGGATGCCATTATCGAATTTTACGAATTTCATACAGCGAATTTTTTATTTGCTTCTTTTCATATAATACAAAAGGGTTCTTTAGAAAAGTTTCTTCAGTTGATCATATATGATCATAAATATAAGGAAGATTATGTTTGAATTAGTACTGTAATTGTATAGTTATATTTTCGGTCACATCAATTAATTTATTCGACAATAGGTACATTTTATTTTAAAACACAGTGAAGTTTCATGCTGTAGATAAGTGCAATTTTAGTTGTCATATGTGCGCGCATAAATTATAGTGTAATGCAAAAACCATAGTGCATGTAGAACAAAAAAGTAACGGAGTTACAGGATTCCGCTTACTGGGGTGCCGGCGTCCCCTGCGGCACTCGTCTGAAGCTGGGTTTATTGGTGCGTTTAACATGCAATCTGTAGAAATTCCAAATGACTTTTTAAAATTTATCTTATGCAACTTTCTCATAATTAATTTGTGTTACAGTTACTTTCATCCTCTGGCTCAGTGACCCATAGAGGATGTTGGCCTTCGACACCAGTGACCGCTAAATTCAGTTAACTCATCTGAGAGGGTTTAATTTTAAGGCTCCATGCTAACGGTGAAAAAGAAACCCTTATCAGACTTCGGTGACATCATAATACAAAAATGTACTCGAAAACTATTTTGTTAGATAGTTTTTGACTTATTGCCGAAAATGTGCCCTAAATTGCTTTCCCGAAAGACAAAATAATTCCATATTTTTTACATGATTTTGTATATCTAAGCAACAAAAAAAAATTATTGGAAAATCCAATAATTTTTTTTGTTACTAAAATCTAAAATTTAAATCATCACCTATATAAGACCTGGAAACGTTTATTGAAATTTTTGCAGCCAGCACGACGACGTCGCATATTTAACCGAAAAGTCGAAGAAGCACATATTCACATACATACACACAAGTATACATACCTTTTAAGATAATATTAACTTGATTACTCAAAACGATACCTGTACATTTCTTATGAACGAAGCGACCCGATACATCTTAAAACAGCATCAGCTTCGTTGGACAAAACAATTACAATAAAATTTCACATTCGATCGTGCTCGGTCCAAAGGTCGTAAAAAGTAAACCCTCTAATGAACAAAACCACAATGTCACTTACTTTTATACCGGATAATATGGGGCTAATGATTTACTGAGTTAATATTGGAATAAAACGTTTTAAACAAAGATTTAGATAGATAACGGTAAAATATGCGTTTATTACGCCATGATTTACCCAATGACCGTAAAGTATTAACCAGATAATTAGGTTTACATAGAGAAGTATACTATAGTAACTATACTATAGTAACTATATAGCGGATAGATAGACACTCGTTTGTAATCTATGGAATTTACCTTCCAAGTACAAACACATTACAAAAGTAGAAAACGAAATTTGGTGTTTCCACGCTTTAATAACTGTTTTTCTACACACAAGATTTGGTTTGAATATTAATATAACACCAATATTTATTTTTTGATGATGTTGTTTAACTCAGAATCGTAAATTTGCTAAAGAATAATTTTTGTTTGAAAAAGCAAATATACGTGTTCACGTCCGAAAAATAGTCTTATTTCCTAAAGAAGGATTGTTCGAGAAGGTTGCAAAACGAACCACTTAACAGCACGAAAGCACCAATATAAAAAAAAATTAAAAATTTTAACGACAGTCTTTAAATATTTACGTCCTGTTTACGATTCAATTTTAGTTTTAATTAAATTCAACTTTTAAGAGTCTATACTACCTCAGCTCGAATTCAAATTTTTCCCGTACTAATACGGTTCATTTTGCTTGGGTCGAACGGCAGGGACACTGACTTTATTTCAGAATTTTTTTTTTTACAAACGAAATTAAAACTTTCACTGTTATGCGAAATTAACCAAAACCATTTGAGGCAGTATAGACTCTTAAAATTGAATTTAAAACAGGAATTGAATTTAAGTTAATTCCTGAACGTAACTTGTACGGTTGTTGGCTGGTGGTGGGGAGACAACATGGCAAATAAAAATTTTTGAACAAGAGATAGCTGTTGAGCTGACAAAGAGCATTACTTTCTCGTCTGCTAATAATTACTAGCGAAAACGGTAAAAAACGGGTGTTAGTCGATCATTGTGATTAAAAATAGATAACCAAGTATATTACGATATAATTAATAAGGTACGTATCATGGATTTCAGAGGTGTAAATAAACAGACATTGTTGCTAACAAGTGTTCTTTTCCTATATAATGCATTCCGGTTTAGAAGGGTAAGGGTGCTGGTAAAACTACAAGCACATGGGACTTGTCAACTTTACGGCTCAGGGTAACAGGTGCAGTGCCTCATTGATATTTGAGATTTAAAGATCTGAACAGCATTGCCACTATTAGTGCAATGCCGCTGTGCGACTTACCTACCACCAGGCTTGTTCATCTCGTCATAAAAAGGGGATATTTAACCGCTCTCGAGCAAAAAAAATACACGAGGACAAGTTCAGTTCAAATGTAAAATGAGTTTTATAATAGTTGAAAAAGGATGTATATTAAAAAAATTACATAGGTGTACTTTCGCGCCGTTGCGTTGCAGTTTTTTTTGGGTAATTTATATTCGTATACATAACATTAAGGTAAAGAAATTTAATATATTTCATCAAGAGGAGATTCTTATAGACAATATAATGTTTTTTTAATTATCTTCTAAACATTTTTATGAAAAATTTTGTTTAGGTCTTGAATATTTTTTGATTGTGGTTAGTGCGTCTATGGCTGTTTCTAATTTATTTTCCGAATCTTAACAATTTTATACCTTATGGTTAATATTATGTAGATTCCAAAAAGTGGTAGAGTCTAATGCGTAATATACCTTTAGTGAAATTTGAATTAAGTGTTTGTTGCAAGCGGGTTTAATTAAACTATGTAAGCGACAATTTCTGATATATCTTTCCTGTCTATATCATTTTGTTATTGATTTTGTGGTAGCAATGAAGTAGGTACTCGAATTGAACGATTTGTGGAATTGATACTAAGTAATTAGTTTATTACTAACAAATTAGTTTATTTATTTCAAGCTGAATTGTTCACAATAACCTAATGTACATGTAGGAATCGAAACTAAAAAATTGAAAGGTGAACTAAAAGACGTTATTCGTGAATACTCTGCCTTAACGTTGAGTTTTTTTTACTTTTAACAACTTTGACGTAAAGCCATACAGCCTACTACATTTATCTTCTTTATTTTGGTTTCTCTTTTTATATAGGTTATATATAATAATACTTTATTTCATAAAAGATTTGTACAGGATGTAACACGTAATCTGTAGATACATATAAAATTTTAACAGAATAACTCGTACAAATTAATCTATTGAGCTCTGATTATCCAAACTAGGCATAGGCCTGTATCTTGGAAATCAGTGTTCGACCATAACGTTTGATCTATTCGAGTAAAACATTTAGAACATAAACAATACTACGTGTATACTAGTATAAAAGGAACTGACTTACTATTATTACAGAAATAATGTAGCAAAAATAGCAAAGAAAAGTTTGTAAGTTAGTGTGTGTAGTGTATGTATGTAGGTAGGTGTCTGTGTGTGTGTGTGTGTGTGGTGTGTGTGGGTGAGTGTGTGTTTGTGTGTATGTGTGCGTGAGAGAATGAGTGTGTGTTAGGAGCCGGTTGCGAGAAGATTTTCTGTGTCGTCGTAGTTCTGATTTAAAAGCCAATTTACCAATCTTTTTTTAACCTCAAATTTGTTTAAACTGTGGATGTTCAAAAGATTATTTACACAGTTGTAAAGGATGGAACTAGATATATGATATTGTCGAGTTGAAAACTTAGTTTTATGCCTAGGAACAGGGCAGACCTTGCGAGTTTTCCTTTTCGAAGGGTCCGGCAAGGGTACCAGGTGGTGCTTACGTAGGATTGTGCGGAGCACAAAGAGCTGCCTGACAGTCAATACTCGAGATAGCGAATATAATTCATTTGGTTTTCAATTCTTATAACGAATGAACGAAATATTCTTTATTGCACATTAAAATTACAATGACAATACAGTAATGTAAGTATCACAGAGTAAGCCAATGTACAACAGGCGGTCTTATTGCTAACTCTAATACTTCCAGGCAACCTTAGAATGGAAATTTAAGAGTTGGAAAGGACTTGAAAAGTGGAAATTATGTAGCTAGATTTTTGGTATATAATAGAGATGGCAAGAGGCGGGGGATAACTTCTTCTTCATATATTTTCATTAGGCCACCTATTAGCAACAAATATTGCGTTAAGTTTCAAAATGATTATGACATTAATATTTTTTTAAATGAAACATGCTGCTATTAAACCTAAACATTGCTGTCAGCAACCACTCATGACGGGAGGTCTTGCCAACAGATCGCGGATGCAATGCAACTTATGCATTCGTTCGTCAGCCAACTACACGTCATTAGGTGCTAACACTTTGTACCACATGCCTTTGAAAGGTTACTATGATCGGCTGGAAGCACTTCAGTCTTGTTTTAATTCCTACGTGACGTTGTTGTTTTGTGAAGTACCAAGTGATTCGTGTAGTAGAATGTAATTGGTATGGAAGGGTCTGGTATTGTTGGAGCGTAAGCATACTCCTTGTTCAAAGCACGATGACTTTAGTGTCACGTGTAAAAATAATTCTCTCCTATCTGTCTTCTCTATCAAACTGTACTTTCTGTTTTCTTA